TCTCCTCAGTCCTTCCAGACTGTGCCAGTGACCCAAGCAGGGCGATTTTGCCACAGGACCACTCCCTGTTTGGGTCAGAGTTGTCCCCCAGAAACTGGAGACGTATATGAACTTACTCCTACCACTGAGGCAGTATATTGGGGGGGATAAGAGGCAACTAACTTAGGTGGCCTGGCGGATAGTAGTCTCCACCAGCAGGGTGGCTCAGGGCAAGATGCCTTACCTTTCTCAGCTTCTGTAAAATGGGTGTGTTCATAACTCCCCCCATTCAGGGTTGGGGACAACAATCACATGATGTGGAAGGCACTTTCTAAAACTTAAAGCGCGGTATAAATGTTGATGCTGAAGATGAAGAGGGAATGGGTCCTGGTGTAGGGAACTCCCAGGTGCAGAAACTCCCTCTGCCTGTGCAGATCATCACTTTCTCAGCAGCTTAAGGCCTGGAGAGGTTAATTGACCAGGGTCACATAGACAATATGTGTAAAAAGCAGTATTTGAATCCAAGGATGGCTCTGCATCCACTATGTTACTCTGCCTTTCATATCATCATCATTGTTATTTTTATCATTATCATCATCATCATTATTATTGCCACCATTATCATCATTCTTTATTGTTATTATTTCATTAATATCACTGAATTTGGGGGGCCGGAAAGATCTGGGTTCACGTGTGAACTCTGCCACTTTCTGGACATGTGACATTGGACTGTGTTCATGTATGTTTTCTTGTTTTGAAATGATGATAAGCCCCTTGAAGGTAGGGATTATTTCTTTATTTTCTTTTAATCCTTTCATCCCCAGCACCTGGCAACTAGCAGTCCCTCAGTTAATGCCTGTTGAATGAGCAAGACACTTGAAATGAGTCTCAGTTTTACCTTCTCTGAAATGGGGTTAATCAGAGTTTTGCTTTCACATCGAGGGGTTGTTGCAGGAAAGGAGTTAAGGAAGTTTGAGAGATTTCCAGCTGGAAGAAGGAGCACAGAGATCATTAAGTCTGTCCCCCTGGAAGAAACTGAGGCCTGCAGGGAAGAACTTCCTGAGAACATGTGAGGGTCCCAGAGCCCAGTCTGAGTTCGATTTGTGGCAGTTTGGGTCAGTCTTTCATCAATGGGTGTTTCTAGCCCGGTTTTGGCCTCTAAACAGAGAGATGTGTGTACATGGCAGCAGCTTAGAGCCTGGGGCCTCTCAGGGAAAATCACAGGCATGAATGGTGGGCACTGTCTTACGATACCAGAGGTCTGTCCTCGCCAGCATCTGCCATCAGAGAGTATCCGAGCTGGGAAGGATGTTAGAGACCATTTGTAGACTTAATTAGCGCAGTGGGAAAAGCCCGGACGGAGGCACCCGAATTGAAGGGATTTTTCTTCCTTTTGTAACTTTTGTGGGAAGGGGGATTGTTTCATTTTTAGTTACTGTATCCCCAGTGTAGCACCCTGGAGACATTTAATTAGCTATCATTGGTTGATTGGTTTTGTGTCCCGCTGCTTAGCACTGTGCCTTGCACACAGTAGGCCATTAATAAATGCTTGCTGCTGGATTAATTGGAGTCAACCTGAATTTGAATCCAGGCTTTGCTGATTATTGTCTGTGGTACCCTTGTACACAGTAGGCAGTTAATAAATGCTTGCCGGTTGATTAATTGGATTCAAATTCAGATTGAGTCTCTCTAATGGCAATAACAGTCTTTACCACTTCTGTGCCTTTGCCTCGGCCAGCCTCCCCGCCTGGTATGCCCTCTCTCCTTATCTCAGCCTCATAGAACCTCTCTCTTCCTTGGAGGATCTGCTCAAGAACCACCTTCTACATGAAGCTGCTAGGGCCCTCCCTCCCAAACTGCCTGGTTTTGGTTTTATATTTATTCACTCTATACTTACTTATCAGCAAATCAACAAGCCTCTATTAACCTCCTACTGTCTGCCAAGCCTTGACTATGCTTGTTTCACAGAGGAAACAAGCCCTCCTATTGAGGAGATTGATGATATTGTCTCCCCGTGTAGAATGAAAGCTCTGTGAGGGCGAGAACTATTTTACTCATGTCAAATTCCGGGGCATCTAACACAGGATCCAAACTTAAGTAATGCCCCTTAATTTGCTGATTACTCGCCTCCCAGGGTGGTTATGAGGGAAGTGCCTTACCCTGGTAGATGGGCTGGAGAGGGCTTGGGGATGGCCCCGGGGGGGGGGGGGGGGGGCCTTGCCCTACAGATCTGAAAACCCAAGCCCCAGACGGGGACGCTTAGGGACCGTCAGCTCACGGTTATGGTTCCCCGGCCCTGGAGGGCTTTCAGCGGAGGCTGGATGAGCAGCCCGCCTTCCCATGTGTTGGAGAGGGTGGGGGGTCTGCCTTCTCTATGGCGTCTGAGGTTCCTTCCAAAGCTTTGGCCGAGGTGGTTTGTGAGAGAATTGAGAGCAGATGCCTGCTCTTCTGCCTCCCAGCCCCCATTATCTCGTTTGAATGGAGAGTAAATAGACTAATCTTTACCCCACACCTGATGGCCCCCATGTTACAGATGGGGAAATCAAGTCACAGAGATTAATTCTGAGGTCTTTTAGCCCCTCTATTCATCCATGTATTCAAGGGCCTACTGTGTTCTAGGCACAGACGACAGAAAGATGTATTCCTGGAATTTATTTATGAAGCATACAATAAGTGCCCAGCGTATGCTTGTCGATTGATTGAAATAGCCCCTGCCCTCTAAGAGCCTGCAGTCTATATGAGAGAAGAAACAACTTTTACAGAGATCAGTCAAAGTGGATAGAAGTCAGGCCTGGAGTTAGGAAGAGCTAAGTTCAAATCCAGCCTCAGACACTTAACTAGCTGTGTGACCCTGAGCAAGTCACTTCACCTCTGTCTGCCTCGGTTTCCTCCACTGTAAAATGGAGGTAATAATAGCACTAACCTCCCAGGATTGTTTTGAGGATCAAATGAGATAATATTTGTAGAACCCTTAACACAGTGCCTGGCACATAGTAAGCACTATATAAATGCTAGCTATTATGATATTATTATTATTATTGTTGTACACATGTAATTAATATATGTATATATGCTTTTTAATATTATATATAATAAAACATTAATGTGTAAAATTTAGGTAAATTTAGTGACATGAGCATATAAATTAATGTATGTAATAATATAATCATATGTATATGTATGTATATGTACACACATACACACAGATACCATTTGAATGTAGAGGCAAGACTTTCGTGGCAGGAGTGGGGACTGCACTTGAGGACCTAGAGGGCTCCCTGTGGCTCGAGGCCGCAAGTTGCCCACCCCTGGTAGGGGGGTAGCCCCTGAGCTTGAGCCTTGATGGGAAATGTGGATTCCCGGCCTGAGGTGGGTTGAGGAGACGGCCCTTCCTGACCTTGTCCTGCCTTCACGGTAAATCCTCTTGGATTCATTCCTTTCACTTTCGATCTCGGGTTGTCAGCCTGAGTCTCCCCCAGTGAGAGCCTTGAGCCAGGCCTGCCGTAGTTGGCAGGCAGGCCCCTTTCTGGGCAGCTGGGGTGTGGTTCCCGTAAGCCAGGGTGCCAGGGATGGGTGACTCCTGGAAGATGCGTTTCAGTGGTCTGGCAGCCACGGGGGAGGAGGAGGAGGAGGAGGAGGGGTGCCCCGGGGCGGGCTGAGTCACAAAGGGAGGAGAGAGGGTATCTTATCTGTGTGTGACCCTTAGTGCCCTTGCTTTGTCTGAGGACTCCCCACCCTGGGGCAGCTTCCAAGTGTCTCCTCTTCCTTCTGAAGGCTTCAGGAAGCTCACTGAGCAGGTGGAGCCAGAGGGTGGTCAGAATCATGGAAGTTCAGAGTTCAAACGGGAGACAGGGTGGACCAGTGGAAAGAGTCCTAGTTCTGGGTTCAGATCTCAGCTCTGCCTCTGTTCCCTTTACTGCTGGGCTCTCTTAGGCTAGCGTGAGCCTCACTTTCCTCTTGTGTCAAATGAGGACCTTTCCAGCTCTGACCTCCACGCCCCTGACTCACCCGTCCTCTGTGGGGAAGGGTTGTCATTCGTCCTCCATTCTGGAAGAGGACCATGATGTCAGGGAGGTGGTGCCATGCCATGTAAATGAATTGGATTTAGGTGACACGCAAGATGAGGCACAGTCCCTGTTCTGGAGGAACTTCTGATCCAGTCACTTTTTAGTCGTTTTCAGTCCGACTCTTCGTGACCTAATTTGGGGTTTTCTTGGCAGAGGCGCTGGAGTGGCTTGCCATTTCCTTCTCCAGCCCATTGTACAGATGAGGAAACTGAGGCAAACAGGGTGAAGTGACTTGCCCAGGGTCACGCAGCTAGGAAGTGTCTGAGGCTGGGTTTGAACTTGGGTCTTCCTGACTCCAGGCCCGGTGCTCTATGCACTATGGCATCACCTAGCTGACATCACTCCTCTTCCTTGAACGATTTTGGGCAAATTATTTCCTCTTGTTGGGTCCCCGTTTCCTCATCTTTAAAATGAGGGGATTGAACCGTGTGGCCTCAAATGTCCATTGCATGTGTTATGGTATGATTGCTCTCATATATGTCTGCTCCACAATAGATAAATGCAGTGAGTTGGGCTCTTCCTTGAGATAAAATGTCTTGGGCCCCGTGCCTCAGTTTCCCCAGCCTAGCTTTCTTCCCCCAGAGAAGCCACTTAAGGGAAGCGTGCCACCCTCCCTGCCCAGCTTGGCTTTACCCCTGACCCAAGTGTCAGCTGAACCCCCTCTGTTCCTACCCCCTCGGGGAGGGTTGCCCAGTAATTATATCATTATATTAATGATGTTTAATAATGGTGTTATCATCATAGCCCCCTGTTGTTTGGCAGCTAGGGAGGGCCCAGAGATAACGGATGGGAGGGAAGTCGTGGCGGGAGGGCCGGCATGGTCTGCCAGAAGGTGGTGGGGCACATCCCCTCAGAGGAGCCACCTTGGGTCCCAATAGTCTGCCTTGTGAGGGGTGCCCTAACTAAGATGCCCTTGGGTTTCCGTCTCACATGGTGCCCCTTTAACTCCACCAGGACCCACCCCGCCGGAATCACCATGTCTCAAAGGCATTCGGACAGTTCGTTGGATGAGAAGTCCAAGCTGCTGGAATATCGTTTTCACTCTGAGCTGCGCCTTGATAAGGATGGCAACCCCATTCCCGGGCTCTCTGGATCCCGGAGCTCCCTGAGGTCGATGGAGAACGCCGCCTTCCAGATGGAGCGCCCGCCGGGCGAGCCCCACCACGTCATCCTGAGCACGGAGAGCCCTGCCGCTCTCAAGGTGGGCACCCAGCAGATGATCCCAAAGAGCCTGGCTGTGTCCACCAAGGCAAAGACACCCACCCGCCACCAGAGCTTTGGGCACGTCATTCTGAGCAAGGAGGCCGCCCGGCGGGACCCCAAGAGGCTGTCTGCCCCCAGCTTCTCCCTGGATGACCTAGACATGGATGTGACCTCAGGGGGGATGCTGACGCGGAACCTCCGGAACCAGTCCTACCGCGCGGCCATGAAGGGGTTCGGGAGCCTAGCTGAATCCAAGCCCATGTCCACCCTCAAACCTCTGGCTGAGGAATCAGCCCAGGGGCGAGCCCGGAGCCCAGGCAGGAGCAAGGTAAAGAGCACGGGGAGATGGCCGGCCCTAGGTGGGCCGAGGCACCCCCCGCTTTTAGGGCACTGGCCTCTGATAGATCGTAGGACTGATTAATAATAAGAACATTTACTACAACAATAATAATAATTAAGATAGCCCCCACGGGATCTGCCTGCACATTACGTGTGCCATCTCCTCTGATCGCCTGTTAAGCAGGTTCTAGCATTCTCCCTATTTTACAGAGGAGAAAACTGAGGCAGAGCCGAGCAGCCAGTGCAGCGGTAGTAAGAGTGATCCTGATAAGGAAAGCTAGCGATTTTAGGGCACTTTAAAGTTTGCAGAGGCACTTTCTATGTGTTACATTAGCCGTTCCTTACAACCTCCCTGGGAGGTGGGTGCTGTTATTATCCCCACTTTTTAGACGAGGAAACAGAGGCAGAGAGCAGCTGAGGGACTCGCCCAGGGTCACGCTGCCAGCAAATGTCTGAGGCTGGATTCAAACTCGGGTCCCCTTGACTCCAAATCCAGTTCTGTCCGCTGGGCCACCCTGCCTCTTCTGGAAGCTGAAGAGCTCATGCCTCCCTCCTTTACACACTCTTTGTATCAGTCAGGCGTGGTTGGGGATCTCTTCCCCCCACAGGCCTTGGCACCTGCTGTCCTCTATGCCTGGGACGCCCGCCCTCTTCAGGTCCCTCTTTCAGAGTCCCCAGCTTTCTGCAGAGCTCTATTCTGGTTCTGTCTGGGCAGAGGCTTTTCCTTCTCCTGCCTCCTCGTGGCAACTCTCTCTCTGTCATCTCTCGCTTACCTGTCTCTCCTCATCTCCTGTTCCTCCTCTGTCTCTCTGCGATTGATTCTCTCTGTCTTTCTTCCTCCTTCTCTTTCTTCTTCTCTCTCCCTCTCTCATCTTTCTCATTCTCTCTCTCTCTTATCTTTCTCATTCTCTCTCTCTCTTTCTTCTCTCCTCTCTCTCTCTTCTCTCCTCTCTCCCTCCCTCTCTCTGTCTCTGTATCTCTCTCTCTGTCTCTCTCTCTCTCTCTCTCCCTCTCTCCCTCCTCCCTCTCTCCCCCTCTCTCCCTCTCTCCCTCTCTCCCCTTCTCCCCTTCTCCCTCTCTCCCCCTCTCTTCCCCTCTCTCCTCTCTTCTCTCTCTCTCTCTCTCTCTGTCTCACATACACACACACACACACACTCTCTCTCTCTCTCTCTCTTCCTTTCCCCCTCTCTCCCTCCCTCCCTCCCTTCCTCTCTGTCTCTGTCCCTGTCTCTTCCTCCCCACCCCAGTGGTATTTTTCATCTCTGTCTCTCTCTCCTACCTGAGACAAGGCTTTAAAAATGAGGGAGTGGGGCAACACCATCAGTCGTGTCAAACTCAAATAGAAACGTGAGTCCCTAAACCATACCGAGGGATCCCTGAGGGCATTATATGACTTAGAAAACCACAAATTAACATTATCAATTTTTATTATGTTTTTATTTATCTTGGTAACTATTTCCCACTTACATTTTAATCTGGTTTGGGTCACTCTTTGCCAGAGTTTGACACCTGGGCTCAGTGACTGTCAAGGTATCTCCCAGCTGTAAATCTCATTTATAGAATGTATTTCTTCATTGGAGTATGAATTTCTGGTAAGTGGTAGAGCCAAGTGACTCATATTTTAATTCAGTCCAGCATTTATTAAGCACCTACTGTGTACGTGCTCATTTTGGAGAATAGCAGGACTCAACAAGCAGGGGAGGGTCATTCACAGTAGAAGGTGGGGCGTGTTATACAGCCAGGTAATAACCAATCAGTCATCAAGCATGTCCTGGACACAACCGAGGTGCTAGGCACTGTGTCAGGTGCTAGGGATCAAAGAACTCCCCGAAACAGGGCCTGCCCTCCAGGAGATTACATTCTACTAGGGGAAAGCAACACGTTCACCCAAAGTGTGTGGATGTGTATATGTGTGTGTCTATTACATACATGTCCATATAGACATATGTGTACATGTATGTACACACGTGTATATACACACATAGATGTAGCAATTACAAGGTCATTAGAGCAGGCAGGGGAGGCAGTAGCAGCTGCAGGGATGGAGATGGGGCCTAAGCTAAGCATCGAAGGAAGTTAGGGATTCTGGCAGCAGGCTGGGGGTGGGGAGTGAGCCCATTCCAGGCAGGGGGATGGGCCGTGCTTGCCAAATAGAAGGCTCGAGGTACGGGTTTCATGGCTTGGTGAGAGTCATATTGCATTACTCATTAATTACATATATATGGGTGCTTAGACAGTTCTTGGAAAGACTCGTTTGTTTTCTTCTTGGGGCCCTGGTTATGATGTAAATGTGTTAATTAGGAAATCCTATTTTCATTTGAGAAGGCAAAGGATGACAGAGCACAAAGCCAGAGTTAGCGGGAGGCAGGATGGTGGAGCAAGACCAGCGCTGGCTTCTCCCAGGCCGCCATGTTGCAGTCACTTTCGCTCTGTGTCATTTTCCTCTTTGAAGAGGCCTAGCCCCCCTCCATGCTGGTACCGTCCAGCTGACATTATTGCCGGCTCATCCTGTCCATATCTCATTTGAACGGAGCTATTTTTGCGTTGTCCCCTCGTTAGACGGGAAACTTCCTGAGAGCAGGGTCTGGTTTTTTATTTTTTTCTTTGTATCCCCAGTGCTTAACCCAGTGCCTGGCACATAGTAGGCACTTAATAAAAGTTTGTTGACTATTGACTGACTGAATACCCTCTGTTGACTACCTCTGTTTACCCTGTACGTATCTTATTTGTACATAGTTGTTTGCATATTGCCCCCATCCCCACTACCATTAGATTGTGAGCTCCTTGATGGCAAGGATTATTTTTCACTTTTTATCTCCAGAGCTTAAGCACATAGTAGGTGCTTAATAAATGCTAGTTGATTGACTGACTGATTGAATTAGATCATCTCTCAGGTCTTACAATCTTCTGATTCCTGTGACTTCACCAGACTACCAGGATTCCTGGGAAAACGTGTGTGTATATTTATGTGTGTGTTGTATGTATGCATTTTTTTTTCTTTTTTTCCTGTTTTCCCTTCATTTTTTTTCTTTCCTGACCTGCAGCTTTATACAACATGGATATATACATATACATATACACACACATAAATACATACACATTTTTCCAGGAATCTTGGCAGTCTGGTGAAGTCACAGGAATCAGAAGATTTTAAGACCTGAGAGATGATCTAATTTGTTCAGTCAACTACCATTTAATTAAACATGTAGTAAGCACAGACTCTGGGAATACAAAGAAAAGTTTAAAACTTTAAGTAGGAGATGCTGGAAAAACGTTATACCAATGCACCCCCGCCCATCAGGCAACTGTTTTGCCACTTAGACCCCCAGAATTGCCCATAAAAGGTAGAATGATTTGCCCAAGGTCACACAACCAATATAAGTCAGAAGCCAGATTTGATCCTGTGTCTTCCTGACTCTGCCAGGTTGCCTCCCATTCGTTCATAAATATGTTATATATTGGAGCTGATTTAAGAGCTGGCATCTCTCGTTTTACAAATGAGAAAACTGAAGTCTAAGCAATCAGTCACCAGTATTAAGCACCTACTGTGCACAGGGCACAGTGTTAGGTGTAGGGGAGGCAAATACAAAGAATGTCAAGCAATATCTATTCCCGTGGAGATGACTTTCTAAAGGGAAAGACAAATGTATCTACAACTATAAATAGCATGGATATAAAGGGAATAAATACCAGTACATTCAAGGTAGTTACATGCAAAGTCGTCATTGTTTATCCTTTGTTCTAGAAGACCATGACGCCTAGAAGGTGATTTGGGAGGGACCAGCTCTTCTGAGTAGGGGACTCAGAAAAGGCTTAGTGAAGATGATAGAAGGTGAAGGAAGGAAAAGCCGACTCCTGGGCAGAGATTAGGAAGGAGAGTGTTCTAGGCATGCAGCGAACCGTGGTGCTGGTGGGTGGAGTGTTGTGTGTGAGGAGCAGAGATCTCAGAGTGTGGAGGGAGACCAGACAGCCAGGAAGCCCGGGACAAGTTGGGGAGGGCTTTAAAAGCTAAACTGAGCAGTTTTGATGTTATCCTATGGATAATAGGAAGCTGCTGAAATTGGTTGGGTAGGGGAACCGTATGGTCAGATCTGGGCTTATTTAAAGAAAATCATTGCTGTGGTGTAGAGGATGGACCCGAGTGGGCAAGACTTGTTGAGGAGGCTGTTGGAATAATTGAGAGAGAGAGAGAGAGGGAAAGGGGGAGAGGGAGAAGGGGAGGGGGCAAGGAAGAGGGGGAGGGGGAGAGGAAGGGGTCTTGCTGGTCTACCAGGAAGCACTTCAGCAGTGTAGGTGTGTTCAGGGCTTCCAAATGGAAGGCACCCGGGCCAGGGCTCTCAGCTGTGCAAGAGTTAGGGGTAGGAGTGAGGTCAAGAAGACCATCGAGAAGGAAAGAAAGAAGGGAAAGCTGTCGGGGGAGGAAGAGGCTGGATGGTTTGATTTAAGCACATCTTTCTGCTTGCTTGACAAATTGAAAGTTGAACTTTAATGGAAATAAGCAGGGACCTGGATTGTCCCCATTTGTCTGTCTGCCTTTGAGGTCCTGGGCCCAGAAGCTGCCCCGGGGGATGTGGTTAATTGGATTAGCTGTGGTGAGGGAGTGGAGGTCTTTGCTGGGCCGGCATGCTGATCCCTGCTGGACATTACAAACATCTGTACTGGTCCAGGAACCAGAGCCTGTGTGTCCGTCCTAACCTGTTGGCTGCTTTATTAATCTTCAGAAAGGGTTCTTGGCAGAGCAGAAAGAGGCGTTTTGTTTTGGTTTGGTTTTTTTAGTGATACTTGGCTAATCCTTGCAGCTGAGGACGAGTGAGGCTGGTGAGGTCTCTTGAGCGCGGGTGTTCTGAGCTGCTGTGGGCTAAGCTGGTTGGGTGTCCTCACCAAGTCCAGTACCAACATGGACATGTCTCCTCAGGGTAGGGTGAGGGGGGCCACCAGGCTGTCTAAAGAGGGGCAAACTAATCCAGGTGGGAAACAGAGCGGGTGAAAAGCTTTCTTGAAGATCAGCAGAGGGATCGTCCCTGGACTTCAAGCCCTGGCTAAGCACTGGGGCTACAAAGAAAGGCAAAAACATGGTCCTTGGACTCATGGAATTCATATTTTGAGTGGGGGGAGATGGCGGGCAAAAGACTCTCAGATGTATGCAGAATACCTGAAAGGTCATCCCAGGGAAGCATTATTAGCCAGGAGGATGGGGAAGGAGCTCCTACAGAAGGTGGGATTCGAGCTGAGTCTTGACGGAAGCCAGGAAGCAGAGGCCAAGAGCGGGTGTATTCTAGACATGGGACAACTAGTGCAAGGGCCTGAGATGTCATGTGAGGAACCGAAAGCCAGCGGGCATTATTGGGTCTTAGAGTCATTGGAAGGTCATTAAATGTAAGAAGACTGGAAAGGTGGGAATGGCCAGGCACCATCCTGAGCTAGAAGGAGACTCTGCCCTCACAGGGGAAGATGGCCAGTATGCTGATGAGTAAGAACAATTGAATTTGAGTAGGGACAGAACAAAGTGGGGGAGGTGGGTAATCCAACCTTGCAGGGAGCAAGGGAAATTCTGAGGGGCAGAAATGAGGAGGGGGTGCTTCCCGGGACCAGCGGACAGCTGTGGGAAGGCACTGGAGAGTCAGAGGAAATAAATATAGCAATTTTAATCGAAATTGTGGGTGTCTTTTAAAACAAAGGCAGAAGGGCAGCTGTCAAAGACTTTTGAGCAAATAGAGTCAAAGAATATCGGACCAACTTTATTGACGTGCAAAACCAGCTACGTACAAACAGTGATGGGGCTGTCTTTGGTTTAGTTCCATACTTGGTTTTCTGATAACTCACTCAAACCAGCAGCAGATGGGACTCCAGAAACTAAGTGCCTTGGGAATTTCAGATGTCTCAGATGGAAATTATTACAGCCGCTGCTCTGTACAGGCAGAGAGAGAGAGAGTGGAAAGGTCAGAGCAGTGAGCAAAATTAACCCTGTGGTTTTCAGTCTCTGGTCTACTGAAGGGAACCAAGCTTATCTTATCAGTTAGCCTTACATTCCTGTCCCTGGGGGCTTCTCAGGATGGCCTGGCTTCTGAAGATCTCCTGCCTGAGTTGGCAGAATATCCGCATTGAAAGGACTAAGGCATAATGATAATAATAACAATATATTATATATTATAATCGTATTATAATAACAGCATGTTACAGTACATATATTATGATAGCAATATATAATAGTACATGATAATGTATAACAACAATAATAATAACATTTATATAGCACCTACTATGTGCTATACACTGTGATGAGCATTTTTACAACTATCTTCTCATTTGATCCTCAAAACAGCCCCGGGAGGCAAATGTTACTATTCTTCTGCCCATTTTACAGTTGAGGAAACTGAGGCAGAGAAAGGCTAAGTGAGTTGCCCAGGGTCACACAGCTAGGAAGTGCCTTAGGCAGAATTTGAAATAAGTAAATAGAAGGTAATCTGAGTGCTTCTCCTTGAGAACTGTCATTGAGTACCCATAGTAGCATATAGGATAAATTATAAATGTAGTCTGCTCTATCCACTACACCCCCTGCCTGCCCATGAGGCTCCCCAGTACAAAGCAAGTAATAATGAGTTTTGCCAGGTTAGCCTGGCGGCACCTGAATGTCTCTCTTCCCTGCACGGGGATGGTTGGAGCATTTGTTGGGGAGAGGCCCACCAGGCAAAGTATTGAAAGTCTTGCTATCAGAACAAGGGGCTGGCAGACTGGATCCAAGTCTCTGCGTCTCTTGTTCCCTGGGGGCTTGCCCATCTAGGCCCCCACTGTTTCTTTTCTCTGCTTTTCAGCTCCAAGAGAACTGTTTGCTCTAAGCCAAGCAGCCAGGGAGGTTTCTGGTCCTTTCCCAGAGCAGGAAAGGGCAGGTACTCCCTGAGAAAGGGACCTGTTAAAGAAATGGATGGCTCGCTTTGAGGAAGGGTGGGGGTCCTCGGTTCTGGGGCCCTGCAGCGGAAGGGGAATGGTCCTTGCAGAGCAGCCATCCAGTGATTCAGTAACAATAATTGGACCCCAGGAGTGTTAATTAAACCCCTGCCTTGTGCCAGGTGCTTGGGCTACATAAACTGCCTCTGCCCTCCAGAAGCTTCCATTCTATTGAGGGGGTTGGGGATGGGATGCCAGCATTCCAGAGCAAAGCACCAACAGCTAGAAGAGGTGATCAGGAAAGGCTTCAAGGAAGAGGCTGCCCCTGAGCTCTGCCTTGAAGGATAATCGGTATTCCACGAGGCAGAGGGGCGAGAAGAGTGCCCAGCAGGCCTCATTGGACCGCCTTGGTGGAGATGCCCAAAGCGGGCTGGGCTCCAGGTCCCAGGAGAGGGGAGGCACCCATCACAGTCCATGTGGACTCTCAGTGCTGGCCCTGGCACAGGGCAGACCGGCAGAGGGGCATTTCGGAACCCGCGGTCCGTCTGGAGAAGGGAAAGGCAGGACCGAGAGACAAGGAGGAGAAGAAAACCGGGGCTGGCCGCCTTCTTTTAACCAGTTGTCTTTCTGTCTTTCTCTCATTGCCACAGAGAACTCTCGGGAGGAAGCGTGCAAACAAGGGTTCTTTCAAGGATGGTGAGTCTGGCCTCCAGTGTCAATTCCTGGGCTGGAGACTGGGCAGGCCCCCCTCTCTCTCTCTCTCTCTCTCTCTCTCTTTCTCTCTTTCTCTCTCCTCCCTCCTTCTCTCCCTCCCTCCCTTCTTTCCTCCCTCCCTCCCTTCCTTCCCTCCTCCCCTGCCCCATGTGGCTGCTTCTGTAACATCTGGGAAGACAGGCCCTGGGGAAAGGGGGTGTGTGAAAGTCCTCATCTCTGAGGGGCCCTCTGGAGACACGGTGACTATAACTAGGATTAATTAGGCTTTGGGCTTTTATAAATGCCAAAGCGGAGAATGATTCAGTGATTAAATTAATGACCTGCCCTGGGCTGCACCAGTGTTACTCTGCAGAGCCGGGATGTGAACCCATGCTGCCTGGCTCCCAAATCAGCACTCTTTCATCTGTACCGTGTCAAGTCCTGCCTCCATTCCCACCTCATAGGGTCGTCGTCGTGAGGACCAAATGAGATAATGTATGGAAAGTGCTTTGCAGGCCTAACAGCATTCTATAAACATTAACCACTGTGGTTAGCATCTTACTTAAGAAGAAAGTGGGGAGGAGACGGGTGAAGCAGCTTTGTACAGGGTCACACAGGGAAGCAGTATTAGAGGCAGGATTTGAACCCAGGTCTTCCTGATTCCAAGTCTAGCACTCACTAAGTTACCTTGTCTTGCTCTTCCCCGCCTCTCCCTGCCCCCCACCCCAATCAATCACTTGGGCAACAACCATAAGCACCTACTGTGTGCTGCCCTTTCCCCCAGGATCTATCATTCAGTCAACAAACATAAAGCCCCTACTGTGTGCTGCCCTTCCCTCCCTTCCCCCCCAAAATCAATCACTCAGTCAACAAACAAGCCCCTACTTTGTGCTAGGTGCTGAGAATGCAAAAACAAAAGTGAGACCGTCTGTCTGTTTTGTGTTTGTGTTGTGTATCTTTCTATGTGTACATCCTATCTCCCCCAGTAGAATGTAAGCTGCCTTGAGGATAGGAATTGTTTATTTTTTTTTTAGTATTTACATCCCCCATGCCTAGCACATAGTAGGCACGGGGTCTTTGTTCATTGATTAGTGAGTGCTCCTGTGGCCCATTCCTCTGCCGTGGCTTGTCTGGTTGAAGAACGTAGCCTACAGTTAGTGGATTTGTGGAAAGGCCGGATTTAGGAGGGGGCATTCTTGGTAGGGATCAGTGGGGCCGGCTCCCCCAGCCAACCTTGGGGCAGTCCAGGGACCACATGTGTGTGTGGTTGGTATCCTCCCCTCCCTAGGCCCTCGCCTCGCCTTCTCTGGGGGCTGTGATCACCAGCCAGGACCCCGGTCCCAAAGGTGTCACATTCCACACGGGAATGCTGCTCTTCTCCCAAGCTCCCTGGCGAATTGGCCGAGCCCTGTGCAGCCATGGGAGACAGCCCATTCTGGGGGGCTCTCCGCCGCCTTTCGGTTTCGGGGTCTCTGTGGGGCCCCAGGGAGGGCTCACCACCCCCAGGGGTCTCGGCGAGAGATGCTGCCTCAGAGGCACAGGGCAGGGAGGACTCCTCAGGGTCCCTGTGTCAGCTCGTGACTTGCCTTCTGTCCCCAGATCCAAGGTTCTACCAGGAAATCCGTGAGAGGGGCCTGAACACCAGCCACGATTCGGACGATGATCAGGATTGCCTGAGCCCAGAGGGACCTCAGAAAACAGACACCACGATTGTGGTGAAGAGTTACCGGCCTGCCCAAGTCACCTGGAGCCAGCTCCCTGAGGTGGGTACTCTGGCAAGGGACCTGGGACCCCTGAGTCCCTCACAGCCATCCTTTCTTCCTGTCGCCCCGCTCAGGGCGTGAAATCTCCATAGAGAGGCGTCTACGTCCTTGTTTGAGATTTTTCTCTGTGTGTTGTTTTTTCTTAATTTAATTTATTTTTTTTCAACTATCAAACATTTATGTTTTTGCTCCTACCCACTGACTGGTTAAAAAAAAAAAACAACCAAATTCTCCTATCACATAAGCACAGTTAAAACATTCCCACATTGGTCATTTCCAAAAATGTATTTCTTATTCTACGCAATGGCCTTGAGGTGGGCAGTGTTCTTTCTCAGTCCTCCCAATTATGGCTCGTCATTTCAGTAATCAGAGTCCTTAAGATCAATCAGTCACCATTTATTAAGCACCTGCTATCTGCCAGGCATTGTGCTAAGCTGTGGGGATACAAAGAAAAGCAAAAGACAATCCCTGCCCCTCAGGAGCTTACAGTCTAATGGGAAAGAAAACCAGCAAATGACCTACAGACAGGATAAATAGGGAGGGAGATGGCAATGAGACTTTCAGAAATGTTTATTTTTGTATCATTGATGTTACATTATAAATTATTCTCCTGATTTCACTTTCTTCACTCTGCATCGGTTTTCCCATGTCTCTGAAATCCATTTCCTCACCTCTTACAGCACAGTACTATTTCATCACAGTCATAGACCATAACTTGTTTAGCCATTCCTCAATTGATGGGCACCCCCTCGGTTTCTAGTTCTTTGCCTTCCCCGAAAGAGCTGCTATAAATATTTTTGTACATATGGGATCTTTTCCCTCTTTCTTGGGTCTTTTCAGTATAGGCTGGGCCAAAGGGCACGTACTTATTAGTAACTTTTTGTGCGTATTTCCAAATTGCTTTCCAGAGTGGTCATGCACATTCAGAGCTCTACCAGTAGGGCATCAACGGGCCTGTCTTCCCACAACCCCTCCAACGTTGATCATTTCTCCTTTTTGGTTATCTTTGCAAATCTGATAGGTTTGAGTTGGAACCTCAAAATTGCATTAATTTCATTTCTCTAGTAGTGATTTGGAGCATTTTTTTCATATGGCTATATATAGCTTGGATTTTTTCCCACGGGAACTGGCTGTTTATATGTTCGGACCATTTATCAATTGGAAATTACTCTTATTCTTATAAATCTGAATTGTCACCTTGTATATCTTGGAAAAGAGACCTTGACCAGAGAACCTTGCTGCAAATATTTTTTTCCCAGCAAATTACTTCCCTTCTAATCTTACCTGTATTGGATTTGTGCAAAAATATGTAAATTTTGTGCAATTAAAGTTGCTTATTTTATCTTGTATGGTTCTCTCTGTCCCTTGTTTGGTTATGAACTCTTCCCTTTTCCATAGATCTGACAGGTAATTTCTCCTTTGCTCCACTAACTTATGTTGTGACCGTTTATGTCACGGTCACGGATCCTTTTGGAATTTAGCTTGGTATAAGGTAAGGGGTGTTGGTTTAACTCTGTTGTTCATTCATGCCCGACTCCTCCTGACCCCATGGACCATCCGTAGCACTCCAGGCCTTTCTGTCTTCCACTGTCGCTCAAAGTCTGTCTGAGTTTGTGTTCATTGTTTCCATGACGCTGTCCATCTCATCCTCTACTGTACCCTTTACTTTTGCCTTCAATCTTTTCCAACATGAGGGTCTTTTCCAATGATTCCCATCTTCTCGTTATGTGGCCAAAGTCCTTAAGCTTTAGTAGTTGACCTTCCAGTGAATAGTCTGAAATAATTTCTTTAAGTATTCACTCATTCTTCTCCTTGCTGCCCAGGGGACTCTCAAAACTATTCTTCAGTACCACAGAGTGTCAATTCTGCAACCTTCAACTTCCCGTATGGTCCAACTCAGTCATACACTACTACTGGAAAAAGCCATAGCTTTGACTGTATGGACCTTTGTTGGCAAGGTGGTGTCTGCTTTTTAGTGTGCTGTCCAGATTTGCCATAGCTTTCCTTCCAAGGAACAAGCATCTTTTAATTTTGTGGCTGCAGCCTAATTTCTGCCTTACTGCTGTCTAGTTTTCCCATCAGTTTTTTTTTTTAATCAAATACTAAGTCTTACCCTAATAGCTGGGGGTCTTTGAGTTTATTGAATACTAGGTTTCTAGCTTCATTTGCTTCTGGGTATTGTGTACCTAATCTGCTCCACTTATCAGTCTCTCAGTTTTTTAACCAATACCAAATTGTTTTGAGAATTACTGCTTTGTAGTACAGTCTAAGATCAGGAACTGCTAGGGTTCCATTCGTTCTCATTTTTTTTTTTCATCATTTCCCTTGAGATTTTTAAACTTTTCTGCCTCTATATGAATTTCAGTGTTATTTCTTCAAGTTTTATAAAGTAGTCCCTTGGTAGTTTGATCAGTATGAGACTAAATAAGTAAATTATTTTGTGCAGTATTGTCATTTTTATTATATTGGCTCAGCCTATCCATGAGCAATGAATATTTCTGCAGTTATTTGCCTCTATCTTTATTCCTATAAGCAGTAGCTTGTAATTGTGTTTATGTAATTCTTGTGTGTATCTTGGTAGTTAGACTCTCAAGTATTTTATACATTCTGTAGTAATTTTAAATGGAATTTATCTTTCCTGCTGGGTTTTATTGGTACTGTAAGGAAATGCTGCTGACTTATATGGATTTATTATATATCCTACAGCTTTAGTGAAGTTATTATTTCAGTTAATTTTTAGTAGACTCTCTAGGGGTTTTTCAGTAAACCATCATCTCACCTGTAAGAAAGGGATAATTTGGTTTCTTCTTTGTCTCTGCTTATTTCTTCCATTTCTTTTTCTTGTCTTATTATAGTAGCTAGTTTTTCCTAGTACTTTGTCAAATAGAAGCAGTGACAGTAGACATCCTTATTTTACCCCTGACCTTAATGGAAAACATTTAAGTTTATCCTGGCTACATATAATGATGGCTCTCGGTTTTAGATATATGCAATTTATCATGTTTAAGCAAAGGTCCATTCCTATGTCTTCTAGTTGTTGTTTTTTTTTTTAATAGAAATGGTGGTTGTATTTTATCAAGATCTCTTTCTACATCTATTGATATTATCATGATTTTTATTGTTTTGTTATTAATATGATTAAATTTATTTAAATTAATATGGCTAAATTAGTTTTTTTTTTTTGCAAACCAGCTTTGCATTACTGGTATAAATCCAGCTTGGTGAGACGTTGTCATAAGCTCTTTGCTAATATTTTATTTAAAGTTTTTGCATCAGTATTTATTAGAGATAGTGGTCTGTAGTTTTTTGTTTGTTTTTTTTTCTGTTTTAACTCTTGTTGGCTTAGGCATCAAGACCATAATTGTGTCATAGAAAGAATTTAGTAGAGTCCCTTTTGCTATTTTGGTAAACAATCTAATATTGCAATTAATTGGGGTTTTTGAATGCTGATAGAATTCACTTGTGAATCCATATGGTGCTGGAGTTGTTCTTTTTTTTTTCCTTTGGGAGTTCATTTAAGATTTGTTCAGTTTGTTTTTCTGAAATTTGGTTATTTAAATTCTCTCTTTCTTCTGCTCATCCGAGTATTTTATATTGTTGTAAATTTTCATTTACATCATGTGAGTTGTTGCTCATATCATCACATCATTGGATAGAATAGTTTCAAATAATATCTTTTATTTCTTCTTTATGTATTATACTCCTTTATGTATTATATACTCCTTTTTCATTTTTGATATTGGCAACTTGGTTTTCCTTCTTTTTTTCATCAAATTAGCTGACGATTTATATGTTTTACTGATTTAAAAAAAACAGCTCCTTCCTAGTTTTATTTACTAATTCAGCGGTCCTGTTGCTTTTTTAATCACCTGCTCAGGTAAGCCTAGGTAGCATCTGCAGGTTAATTGTCCAGGGAAAAGGGGTTGACTCTGGGTGTTTTTGAGAGGAGAGAGAGAGAGAGAGAATGAGAATGTGGTTCATAGATTCACAGCTGGAAAGGACCTTCACAGTCATCTAGACTGACCCCCTCATTTTATAGATGGGGAAACTGAGGCCCAGAGGGATGAGGGGTTTATAAATCTGGAACTGGAAGAAAACTTTGATCCAGTTTGATTCAGTTGAACTCCTAATTTTTACAGAGGGGGAAACTGAGTCCCGGGGAAGTTAATGTGCTTCTGTACTCCAAGAAAGGTAGCCTGGTCTATTAAAAGAGAGAGTAGTGTAGTCAGTGACTGGAGTGCCACATATGGAGTTAGAAATACTTGGGTTTGGGGTAGCTAGGTGGCACAGTAGATAGAGTGCTAGCCCTGGAGTCAGGAGGACCCGAGTTCAGATGTGGCTTCAGACACTTACTAGCTGTATGACCCTAAGCAAGTCACTTAACCCCGATTATCTCAAAAAAAACAAAAAAAAAAGAAAACCTTGGGTTCAAATCCCACCTCTGGCACTTCTCCATGGGTCACCCTGAGGAAGTCACTTCATTTAACCTCCTTCATCCTCAGTTTCCTCACCTGGAAAATGGGGATAGAGATGACCATTACCTCTCGGGGTAGTTGAGAGGCTCAAAGTACCTTACGAACTTGAGCTGATTTTTGATATCTAGGCAGATCCCCAAAGCCATGGGACACTCTGCCTCCTCATGTCTGCCTCCTGGCTGCCTTCAGGTCCCAGCTGAAATCCCACTTTCTGCAGGAAGCTTCTTCTAGTCTCCCTTAATGCTAATGGCTTCCCTCTGAGATTTTTCTTCGTGTATGGTTTGTTTGAACATACGTATGTCTGCTTGTTGTCTCCCCCATTAGATTGTGAGCTTTTTCAGGGCAGCGACTCTCTCTCGGGCCTATTTCCAGCCCTAACAGGCTGACACTTTGTCCCTGCATGCATGACGTGTTATATTGGCCTTTGAGGTTTGCAGAAAAGGTCCATACGCATGATCACTCTGTGGGGTACGAATGACAGGTCATTAGGCCCATTTTACAGACAGGAAGCCGGAGCTCAGAGACGTTGGCTGATGGGGCCAACATTACCCTCTAATATGTGTTAAAGGTGGGATTTGAATCAGGCAATCATTAAACATTTATTAAGCACCTTAGAGTCAGATGGTATAGGCTCAAATCTAGTCTCTGCCTCAGTTTCCCCTCTCTGTAAAAATAAAGAGATTGTTTAGACTAGATGACCTCGCTGTCCTTTCTGCCTCCAAATCCACAATCTTGTGATGAAAGGCTTAGTGAGAAAGTTACTAAAATTTCTCTGCAGGACAAAAAAGGAGAGAATTTAGTTCAGCAAACATTTATTAAGCACCATCTGTGTGCCAAGCACTGTGCTAAACATTGAGTAGGGAACAAAAAAAGGCAAAAGACAGATAGTCCCTGCCCTGAAGGAGCTTGTAATCTAGTAGGGGAGACAGCGTGCAGTAAGTGTATACAAAGCAGGGCTATAGAGAGGATAAATAGGAAATAATGAGCAGAGGGAAGGGGGTGGAAAGGCTTCCTGTGAAAGATGAGGTCTTAGCTGGGACTTCTGTATTGATGTCTGTAGTCCCTGTTCTCATTATGAGCCCATGACTTGGGTCTGGAGCCCCTGGGCTCCTCCTCCCTGGCGGCCTTGCTTCCGTCCTGATTCACTGAATCAGAGCTGGGTATCCTGCTGGTATCTCCCCAGCCGCCCCCCTTCCTGCCCCCTCCCGTGCCAGCACAGGCAGGAAGCTGTGAGTAAATACCCCTGGGCAGAGAAGGAGTTTCCCATGCCATCACAGGAAGGTTCCCCCCATGCATCCCCCCAGGTTGGCTGCCCCAGTCCCCCAAGGGCTGGGTGTGTGTGCCAAGTCACGAGCCAAGCTGGGTAGGCGGTCAGTCAGCTTCCAAGATGGCCCTCGGGCAGAGAGGGCACCTAGGTGGCAGCAGCCTGGGCGGGGCAGGGTGGGGTGGGGCCATCCCTGGGAGGCTTTGGAGATGCCCCAAGAGGCATTGACTCACCTGGCAGTGCAGGAAGGCCAGTGGGGGAGGACTGGCCAGTAACCGTGCCCTACACCGCCTCCCTTGTACTCCCCAGAGAAAAGGGGATTTCAGCTTTGGCTCGCCTTCCTGCCCATGTTCGCTCTCACACCACTGGCTTCCTTCAGTCTCCAACAGCAGAGGAGAACATGCAGATAGAACCAGGGCAACCCCTCAAAATCCTCCCAGGTCTCACTGCCTGATCTCAGTTTCCTTTGACACCGTCTATCTCTGCCCTTTTCTTCGTGATCTTCCCTTTCTTGCCCCCTTCCCTCCTTCTCATTTCCCCCTTCTCTTCCCTCCCTCCTTCTCTCCTTCCTTCCTTCCCACTTTCTCATTTACCCCTTCTCCTCTTTCCTCCTTAGCCCTTCTCATTTTCCCCTTCTCTTTTTCCCTCCTTTCTCTCCTCATTTTCCCCTCCTCTCCCCTCTTTCTTCCTTTTCTTCTTCACCCATTCCCTCCTTTCTCCCTTCTCCTCTCCTTCCTTCCCTCCTTTTCCCTTCTCCCCTCCCTTTCCTTTCTCTCCTCTCTCTCCCCATGGTGTATAGTAGAAGGTCCAGTGAATAATCTGAGGACCTGGGCTCAAATCTCAGCTCTGACACTGAGTCACCCAGTTTGTCTGGACCCTGGTTTCCTCATCGGGTCTGAGGACAGGGTTGGACTTTGCTATCTCCTCTGCCCGCTCCAGATCTCGTCTGATGACCAGGGGTGTGGGGGAGGGGAAGAGCGTTCAGGGTGGGCAGTGCCCACGGGAGCGCGTGGCCTGAGCAAGGAATGCGTAGCAGCAGACCTTTACGAGGCCCAAGTGCTGGCTCAGCCATTTGGATCTGGGCAAGTGTCCCACCTGCAGCTGCGGGTGGGCGGGCCAGCCCAGGAAGACTCGTTCCAGGGAGGCACTGCCCTGCCTCCGCAGGGAGGCCCATGTGCCAAGCCGGCCTGGGCCCTATTTGGCCTTCCTTTGTTCTGGGTGTCGACCCGGGTGGGGTCCCAGGCCAGTTGTTCCCAGACTGAAGTGTTTCAGGAGCCCCTTGGTGCGGACTCGTGACCTTTACCCCGTAAACTCGCCCGATCCTAACGTCCCTCTGGCATCCTGCCAGGCGCTTAGGTTGGCAGCCTCCTGGGCTTTCGTGACTCTAGCCAGCCAGTTTCTAGGTCTCACTGCCTCCACCACCTGTCTTAAGAATGTTCATTTATCTCCACTCCCAGGCCCTCCCCAGGACTCTGGCCTCGGCCTCCTCTATGGTCTGCCTGCATCTTACTCTTTTCCCCTCTGGTCTGTGCTTAACCTTAACCTAGAGCCCACAGAATCGCTTTCATTGAGCTCCTACTGTGTGCTAGGGACGCTGTTAGGTGGTGAAGATACAAAGACTGCCGTCCCTCACTGGGAGCTCTTGAGAGGCAGGGTACAGAATATACTCAAATATATAAATAATCCAAACTAACAGCTAGCATTGATTAAGTACCTACTATGTGCCAGACACTGAGACAGGGGAAGGAGATACACATACAGAAAATGACAGTCCCTGCCCTCGGGAGCTTACAGTCTGTTATAGACACAGATAAGGAAATGAAGCCAGGTCCTGATTGGCGTGAATAATGAATCCCTGCAAGTGGTCACATATATTCACATATTCACTGTTTGAGGTTGAAATCATGTAAAGTATGGTCATTGGTCCCATTCCAATGTAAATATGGCGTATAAATCTACATAATGCATCTCTTCAGGGAATTCCTCATTCACGTGGGACTGGGCCAAATTACAAAGTCATTTGAGGGAGGGATTGCCAACGACAGGAGGTATTGGGAAAGACGTGTTGAGGTTGGCGCTTGGGCTAACTTAAAGGGGGATGGGAATTCTGAGAGGCAGGATAAGGAGGGAGAGCATGGGATTAGCAAAGGTCCAGAGGTTGGACATGGAATTGTGGGGATAGGAAGCAGTTTTGTTAGAATATCAAGTGTGTGAGGAGGGATAATGGGAAATCAGCCGGGAAAGGAGAGGGTTAGCCAGACTGTGAAGGCTTTTTTTCCCAGCCAGTCCTGGTCCTGGCCTTACCTCCAGCCCTTGTCCTTGATCCTGGCTTCCTTACACAGCGGGAGCTCACGCCACTTGTGTCTCTGTGTTCCTCAGGTCGTGGAATCTGGAATTCTGGATCAGCTGTCCCCTGAGGAGCGAAAGCGGCAAGAGGTAAGGGTGGCCCTGGCAGGTGTTTTCTGCGGCCTCCCCAGATGAAAGCTAACAGATGCTGGATGCCCCTTTGCTGCGTGATTGCTTTCTACCTCTGAGAGGAAAGATGACCTCTTATTTGTTCATCTGATGGGGGGGGTGGACAGAGAGAGAGAGAGACAGGGAGGGAGAGAGACAGACAGAGACAGAAAAGGGAGGGAAAGAGGAGGGGGTAGGGGTGGGGGGATGGCAGGGCTGAGGGGAGGTGGGAGATGAATCAGGCCAGGGCTCTGGCCAGCCTCAAGGTGTAGCATTGGAATCCTATCAGGTGCCTGTGATTAAGCTTAATTAATACCATGGAGTCAAGTAATGTGATGTAGTGAGTTAAGGGTTGGGCCTTAGTGTCAGGTTGACCCAGGTTCAATTCTTTGCCTCTGACATGTACTTTGCTGTGACCCTGGACAGGTCGTTTAACTCCTTCAGAGCCCTAGGTTTTTCCCAAGATTTGTCTAAGTCACAGATGGGTTGTGAGCTGTTTTAGCATTTTCCCAGGTGTTTTCCCAGTTGAATTCCCTATGCTGAGGTAGTTACAGATCTTGGACTTATTCCCTTAATAACACTGAGCCCCGCTTCTCTCCTCTGCCACCCCTGAGTCCCCTGGAGAGAGAGAGAATGAGGGAGGCCAGATTTCATCATCATCTTCGTTAGCTAATATTTATATATCACATTAAGGTCTGTGAATTGATGTACAATCATCTCATTTAATCTTCACAACAACCCTGGGAAGTACATGCTGTTATTATTACCATATTACAGATGAGGAAACTGAGGCAGAAAGAGGTTGAGGAATTTACCTAGGTTACACAGCTAGCAAACATCTGAGGCTAGATTTGAACTCTTGGGTCTTCCTGACCCCAAGTCCATCCTGTTGTGCCTCCTAGCTGCCTCCACCTTTCCCCACACTCAGGCCTTCCTGGATGAAGGCTCCCCTTGGCTTTCTCTCCTCATCACGAGCTGCCTTTACCTTTCCTCTGAGAATGGGACTTCCCTTCCTGAGCCTTTGTTCTCCCCCACAGACGAGCTCTCCCCACGTCCCTTCCTCCATGGGCAGCGGCCCACAGTAGATGCAGTGTCCTGCCTAACGAAAAGTGTAGGGGAAGGGACCTTTTCCAAGCCCTGCCTGTCTCATGTGCTTGGTCCTCCATCCCCATGGTGTGTGACCGACTGACTGATGGGCTTCCTCTGTGTGTCTCTGTGTCTGTACGTGGCATCTCTCTACTTCTTACCTCGACCCTTCACCCCTGTCCCTTCCCCCTTTCTCTTGACTGTCTCCCTCTCCATCTTTCCTTCCCGTATCTCCCCATCTGTCTCTCCCTCCCCCTTTCATCTCTCCCTTCCTCCATTCTCTCTCTCCCTCCCCCATCTCTCTCTTTCTCTCACTCCTCATCTCATCCCTCTTTCCACCATCTCATCTCTCCCTCCCTTTCTTTCTCTCTTTCCTCTCCCCATCTCATCTCTCTGCCTCCCCCATCTCTCTTTCTTCCTCTCATCCCTCTCTTCACCATCTCATCTCTCCCTCCCTTTCTTTTTCTTTTCCTCCCCATCATCTCTCCCCCCCATTTCATATATCTCTTTCCTCTCCCCATCACATCTCTCCCCTCCCCCATCTCATCTCTCCCCTCCCCCATCTCTCTCTTCCTCTCATCCCTCTCCACCATCTCATCTCTCCCTCTCTTTCTTTCTCTCTTTTCCTCCTCATCTTGTCTCTCCCTCTCCCATTCCATGTATCTCTCCCCACTCCCCCATCTCCCCCCTTCCCTCTCTCTCTCCCTCCCCATGCCATCGGGCACGCAGGCGATTTTTGAGATCGTCACTTCAGAGTTCTCCTACCTGCACAGCCTGAAGACCCTGGTGACTGAGTTCCTGAGGTCCAAGGAGTTGAGGGGGACCATGACCCAGATGGAGCATCACCACCTCTTCTCCAACATCGTGGATGTCCAGGGGGCCAGCCAGAAGTGAGTTCCCATCTTCCTGCCCTTGGGCACCTGCAGACAGCCCAGCAGGGCCATGGTGCCCACTGGGGAGTTCTAGAGAGGTGGGAGGAAGCCAAGGCCCACAAAGGTTAAGTGACTTACCCAAGGTCCCACAAGTACTAAGTGGTGGTAAAATTCAAACCCAGACCCTCTGAAGCACCTCACCTCCCATCAGGTTGTGCTGTCTGGCAGGGAACCAGTAACCAGCACATCTGAACTCCCATGGCCCAAGAGGTCCAGGTGGGAGACAGCTTGACCTCGGGGTGAGAATTCAGAACTCAAGAGTCACAGGCTTGGGATTCGAATCTTCCTTCTGCTCTCGAACTCCTGGGTGGCTCTGAGCAAACTGCATCCCCTCTTTGGGCCTCAGTTTCCTCAGCTCTGAAATAAAGGGGTTGGACTAAATGAACTCTAAAGCCCCTTCCAGTTCCAAGTCGAGGTTCCTCGGAGATCTGGGGGCCAGTCCTGGGCACTCCCACTTTGTCAGGTCTCTCATCCACCCCCTCCACCCTCAGGGCCTCAGTTTTCTCATTTGTAAAAAGAGGAGCTTGGACTAGACCAGGGGTCCTTAACCTTTCCTGGGTCATGGACCCCTTTGGCAGGCTGGTGAAGCCTAGGGACACCTCTTCACAATCATGGTTTTGTTTGTTTGTTTGTTTGGAGGCGGTCAGGGTTATGTGACTTGCGCAGGGTCACGCAGCTTAGTAAGTGTCTGAGGCCAGATTTGAACTCACACCCTCCTGACTCCAGGGCCAGTGCTCTATCACCCATGCCACCCAGCTGCCCCTCAGTCATGGTTTTTTAATCAGTTGAAGGAAATGCTCAACTTCAGTTAGAAGTTAGTGAGAATAATAGATGTAACTCTTTCCCATCCAAGTTCACAGATCCCTGAAATCTAAGGGTCAAGAACCAGCCTGCACCAAAGCTGTTATTGCACCCCTTCTGTGCTTTCAGGCCCCTCCTCACGCCCCCAAGCTCAGTGCTCACTGGCCGCTCCTTCTCTCCAGTCTTCTGGGATCACCAGTGATGGTCACTTAGAACCTCAGTGTTCTGACTCAGCAGGGAACAAGGTTTGGTAAACCAGAGTCCCTGCTGGGAGCCCTTGCGGGGTAGGCAGGCCGGAACAGGGCACGTCGCATGGCAGAGTTTGGAGGATTAAAGCCGTGCTGCGTGTTGCCCGTCCCTGGCGATGCGGTCAGTTCTTTGCAGCCTGTGGGGGGATACTCAGTCTCGGGTGGCTTTGGAATGGCCGGACTTTGTTGGCTGTGGTTGGCCCCGTACGATGCCAGGCGTCACTCTGCCTGTGAGCTCTGGCCACCTTAGAAAGCGCTCCTGGTTCTTTTTAATAATAAACTAGATGCCACCACGTCTTTCCAAAGGGCTCAAGGCCTTCTCTGGACAGATAGCTGCTCCTCCTCTGTCCTCCTGGAGTCTGGAGAGAGAGGGAAGGAAAGAGGTGCAGAGCAAGGAAGCCGAAGCACAGAGGGTGGGCCAGGGAGGGCCAGCCAGGCTAGGATGGGAGCCCCGGGTGAGCAGGCTCTCAGGCCGGGGCTCCAACCAGCCAGCCTCAAGTTGCAGGTCTGGGGTCAGGTTTAGCCCAGCACCGGTGTCCAGTGGCACTGCCCCCAGGCCTGCCCAGGCTCAGCTCAGGTTGCATCACCAGGAAGTGGAGGAGGGCCCTGGCCACTGTGCCGGCCCTTGGAGGGGGGAGGTTCTGGCCAGACAGCTGGGACACTCCCTGTGTCCAGAAGTGTTCCCTGCTTTCCTGCTGGGGCTATTAACAGATGTCTGCTATGTGCCTGGCACTGGGCTAATACCTGGGGATACAGAGAAATGCAAAAACACAGTGCCTAGCCTCAGGGAACTTACAGTCTAATGGGACAAACACGCAAACAGCTAGGTACAGACAAGCTCTATGTGTAAATTGGAGGTCGTCTCAGAAGAAGGTAGTAGTGTTAAGGGAGACCCGGAAAGGCCTCTTGTAGAAGGTATTTAAGCCGAGTTCTGAAGGAGGCTGAGGAAGTCAGGCAGTGGAGAAGAGGAGGAAAGGCACACCAGGTGTGGAAAACAGCCAGTGCAAAGGTGTGGAGTTGGGAGATAGTGTGTGGAGAAGAGCAAGAATGCCAGTATTGCTGGTTTGTAGAGTATGCGGTAGAGAGATAAGAGGTTAGAAGACTGGAGAAATGGGAAGAAGTCAGTTGATAAAGACTTGTGGTTTGTTTTTTCATTCAATTAGATCGGAAGCTCCCTGAGGGCAGGGACTGTCTTTTGCCTCTTTTTGTATCCCCAGCACTTGGCACAGTGCCTGGCACATAGTAAGTGCTTAATAAATGTTTATTGATTGATTTTAAATGCCAAATAGGGGATTTTATGTTTGATCATAGAGGTAATAGGGAGCCACTGGACTTTAATGAGAAGAGGGTGACGTTCAGACTCGGACTTTAGGAAAATCACTTTGGGTAGGTGAGACTTGGGGGCAAAACCAGGTACCCAGTTTGGACCCATTCTCATTCCTCTCCTGCCCCCCTGTTTGAGAAAACAGAGTGAGATCCAGAAAAGCAAGCGCGCACCGTGTGTGTGTGTGTGTGTGTGTGTGTGTGTTTGTGTATGGAGAGGGAGAGAGATGTACATGTAGAGTAAATACCAATTAACTTGCAAGGGGAGAGTGGGGAGGGAGCTGAAGGACTGGCACCTAGGAGACCAGGAAAAGCCTCCTGTAGAACGTTAGCTCGTGAGCTGAACTCTCAAGAAGTGAGGGCTTCCAGGGGTTGGAGGTGATGAGGGAGACATGCAAAGGTGTGGAGGTGGGAAATGGGGTGTCCAGCACAGGCGGCCGGGAGCTGGCCGGTTTTGCCTGGAACGCAGAGTGCGAGAGGGAGCCGGACTGGGAAGGCTAAGGCGGGGGGGGAGTTTGTACCAGATCCTAGAGGCGCCAGGGAGATTGTTGGGCAGGGCAGTGACGCAGTCAGCGCCATCGTTTGACAGCAGTGGGGAGGATGGATGAGGCCGCAGACAGAGACATCTGGAGGGCAGGACTGGAGGAGGGGCCAAGGTCACCCTTCCAAGCTTCAGCCTCAGAAATTGGCCTGTCCCCCAAACAGCTGGAGCGTCTCCAGAATTCCCCTGAAGCATTGTAGTGGAAAGTGAGCTGGCGTGCACTCTGGCCGTGTCTCCTGTGCCCAAGGGAGCTCTGGGGAGATGCGGAGGCTGGGAATCAGATCGTGGGCTGAGGCCTTTCGTTCTTGGGTAGACACTGTAATAACAACAACGATAATAATAATAATGACCTTAAAATATCGGCTCATCCCTCTGTGATGCCTAAAGGTTTATAAATATAACAGCCCCCTGAGGGGGAAGGCGTGAGAATTCTTATACCCATTTTACAGTTGAGGAAACTGAGGCCCAGAGAGAGAAAATGATGGCAAGTGGAAAGCTCCCTGGAATTGGGATTCAGAAGACCTGGGTCTGATACTAGTTTTGTGACTCTTGTCTAGGCATCTTCCTCTGTAAAATGATGAGGTTGTAAAATGCTCCCTGGGGTCCCTTTCAGTTCTAAATCTACGATGTCTCTGAGCCTTGGTTTCTTCTGTAAGCAAGGGGGGGTGGGCAGCTAGTTGGCACAGTGGATAGAGCATCGGACCTGGAGTCAGGAAGACCCAAGTTCAAATCCAACCTCAGACACTCAGTAGTTGGGTGACAAGTCACTTAGCCCTGTTTACCTCGGTTTCCTTGTCTGTAAAATGAGCTGGAGAAGGAAATGGCAAACTATTGCAGTACCCCTGCTAAGAAGACCCCAAATGGAGTCTCTGTGAGTCAGACATGATTGAACAACAAACAAATGGATGTCCTCTGCCAGCTCTCGGTCTGAGGTCTCTGGGCCTCGGTTTCTTTCTCTGTAATTTTCCAGAGGAGAAGCCTGAGGCTCAGAAAGATTAAAGGAAGGACAGTAGGGTACTTGGAAAAAACTTGAACTTGGAGCCAGAGGCCCCAAGGTTGAATCCTGGCCCTGCCCCTTACTGGGGCTCCTTGATCAACTCCACCTCTGAGACTCAGTTTCCTTATGTGTCAAGTGAAGGAGCTGGGTGAGACAGACCTTCCTTCTCTCAGATCTGTCGTCCTTGCTCACCGATGCGTGGCTAGCGAGCGTTAGTGCCGGGATTTGAACGCAGGTCCCTGGCCTCCAGCTTTGCCCCATAGAGCACTCACTGTCTCTGGTGCCTGGGCTCCTTAAAGAACCCTCACCTGGAGGCAGGTGGGAGGGGAGAGCGCTGCTCATTCTCCTTCCCCCAGGAGGCGACATCCGCTGCCTCCAGGAGAGCCAGGCCTCCCCCCAGCCTCCTCAGGCTGCCAGTGCCCTCTGCTAATGCCCCTGAGCCTGTCCCACCCCACAGGGTGATATGGGATGGGGTGGGGAAGACACGTCACACACACACACGCACGCACACACGCACACACACACCCTTTGGCCCGGTCTGCTGAGGGATCCCAGAGGGCTGCATTTCTCTCCTCTCCTCCCCATCCCCCCACTTTGCTTCCATGAACCTCCTGGGCCTCTGAGACCTTTGCACCCAAGGAACAGCGCAGAGATTCTCATCTCTGCAGGGATTCCCAAAGGAAGGAGTTCTCAGAATCAGGGCACGCATGTCGTGTGAGTATGTGTGTGTGCACACACATGCTCATGCATGTTTCTGTGCACTCACAAGGAAGCTTGCCCCAGCACGGTTGTGTTTCTGGATTGCCTGAGTAAGCTGGGGGGGGGCGGGGGGGGCGTGTCCTCACCACGCCTACCTAAGGAATTACTTTATCGTTATCAAATAAAAGTCCAATCAAACACTTACTAAGTGCCTACTGTGTGCAGAGGTGCTGCTCTTGGTGCTGAGGAGATGGAGATGGAGAGAAACAGTTCCTGCCCTTGCAGAGCTTATTTGCATTAATAATCTCTAGCATTTAAAGAAAGCCTTTAATGTTTGCAGAATTCTTTACAATTATTATCTCAGTTGGTCCTCATGATGACTCTAAGTTGTTTCACATTATTATTATCGTTGTTGTTATTATATTGTGTTATTATCTCCATTTAACAGATGAGGAAACTGAGGCAAATGGCTGCAGTGACTTGCCCAGGGTCGCACAGCTTGGAAGGGTTTGAGGACAGATTTGAACTCTGTTCTTCCTAATTTCAGGCCCAGGGCTGTATCCACTGCGCCCATAGAAATTTTTAGTACCTCCAAAGGGCCTGGCACTTAGTAGGTGTTAAACACATCTTCACTGATTCACTCTAATGGTTTTGGGGTGGGGGTTAGGGTCCTCGGTATACCAGATCACAGAGCTGGAAGGGGCCGCCTGGCCATGTAGCCGACACACTGAGGCCCAGAGAGGGGACGTCGCCTTGGCCAGGGTCAAACCCAGGTCCTCTGACTCTCAACTCATTGCCATCTCACCATGCCCGGCGAGCTCTGGAGCAAAATGAAACCTAATCAATAGTAGTAAGCCATATTTCCCTGTGGAGGTTCACAAAGCGCTTAATGGGCCTGATATGTGAGCCTCCCACAGCGGCCTCGGAGCTCAGGTTTTACAGAGGAAGAGCAGGAGGGACCTGTCCGTGCACAGGCGCGGCCTTTGGACCCACACCTCTGCTGGCGCCGTTCAGACGCTCTGTCCCTTAACGTCTCACTGTCTGTGCAGTCACTCTGTCCTGAACCCAGGGGCCAAGCAGGACCATTGCCTGCTTTGTGGATCAGGGGCTATTCCCCAGGACACGCTGAGGTCTGCAGCTTTATCTGATGGACAGTGGAGGCAGCCTCAGGGCTCTTCCTTCCTCCCTCCCTCCCTCTTTCCTTCTCTCCCTCACTCATCCCTCCTTCCTTCTCACCTGCCTCCCTTCATTCCCTCCCATCCTCCTTTATTCTTTCTTCCCTTCCTCCCTCCTTCCTTCCCTCCCTCCATCTCTCCCTCTCTCCCTCTCTCCTTTCCTTCCCTCCTTCTCTCATTCTCTCCCTCCCTCAGGAGGAGGATCCAGGTGACAGAGAAGCAGACTTTCTTTCAGATGCTTCCAGCCGAGGCTGACCTCTGCCCCCCCCCCCCCCCCCGTGCCCCTGGACTCCCCAGGAATGACCTCTCCCTCCTTAATCTAGTATTTGTTCTGGAGCCCTGTTTGTTCTGGGCGGGGCTGGACATGCCGGGGAAGGAAGAGTTTCAAATTCCGGTTCTCTGGTTCCCTGCCACCACACCCACTGGGGACAGGAGAGTGTTTTCCTTAGCCTTGTCAACGGCAGAATGGAAAAGGGAAGCCCAGAGCTTCCGGGGTCGGGCTGGCGCTGGTCTGTCCCGGGCGGTGCCTCTGAGCAGACCCCATGGGGAGGCGGCCTTGGCAGACCAGGGGCTTTCCCTCTCTGGCGTGGGGTGGCCATGAAGGGAGGACTGGGGAGGCAGAGAGCACCAGGAGGAGGAACCCTGGCTCTGGAGTCCTGGGACCCGGGTTCAAATCCTCTGGGCTGCATCCTCCTACTCTAGGGCTCAGTTTCCTCAAATTTAAAAGGAGGGGATAGGACCCTGTGACCTCTAGGGTTCCTTCCAGCTCTAGACTGTGCCGTCATCCCTGTGGCTCACAATTATTCCAGCAGTGAAGTGTTCCCAGGGACATTGGAAAGCATCTTTATTTTTTTTTTAATAGAAAATCATAAAGTCATATGATGTCAGAGCTGGGAGGGGCCCTAGAACAGGGAATGTCAGAGCTGGGAGGGGCCTCAGAGCATGAAATTTCAGAGCTTCAGGAGACCCTAGAAATAATCTTGTCCAACCACTTCCTTACAGAGAGGAAATGACTTGTCTTGGGTCATACTCAAGGTTCTAAGATAAGCAGGAAAGGTAAAATTTCTTCCTTAAAATAATAATAGTATTGATCCATTTTATTTTTTTTCAGTTGTGTCCAACTCTTTGTGACCCCATTGGGGGATTTCTTGGTAAGATACTGGAGTGGTTTGCCATTTCCTTCTCCAGCTCATTTTACAGATGAGGAAACTGAGGCAAACAGGGTTAGGTGACTTGTCTAGGATCACACAACTAATAAGTGTTTCAGGCCAGATTTGAACTCGGGAAAATGAATCTTCCTGATTATAGGCCCGGCACATTATGCAGTGAGGCACATAGCTACAACAAATGATATAAATATAGTATTTATATTATTTATATATTCAGATTATTGTATATTGCATATTATATGTGAATGTATAAATAGATAATGTTATTTATAGTCACACTATTATCTATTTTATATTGTATTACATATGAGAATATAGAATAATATAAATATATAATGTACAAATAATATAAATGTATAATAATAATTTATGTATCACTTTTAAGATTTGAAAAGCACATTATGATTATCTCATTTGATCCTTTCTCACAACAACCCTGAGGGGGAGGTGCTATTATTATCCCCATTTTACAGATGAGGAAACTAGGACAGACAGAGGTTAAATGACTTGCCCAGGGTCACCCAGTTGGTAAAAGTCTGAAGGTGGATTTTAACTCAGGTCTTCTGACTCCAGGCCCAGTGCTCTACCCACTAGGCCACAACATTCAGATATTTGAATCTTCACTTCCCTAGGCTAAGCATCTCTAATTCTTTCATCCAGTTTCATCTTAGCACGATGAATATTTCTTGACTTAACTTGGTCACTAGTGCCAGTCCCAGCCCTCAGGGAGTGCTGCTCTTTCTGAAATGGGTAGAATAAACAGGACTGAACCCATGCTCCCTCCATCCTTGGTCAGGCCTGGCACCTCAGTGGTCCTGGGTTCTAGGTCTCTCTGAGAGCTTAAAGAACGCATGGGGCCTGGGCCTTGGGACGCCTGGATTCCAAACCCACTTTCGCTTCTTAGTAGCAGTGAGACCTTGGGCAGAGCCAGAATGGATGCTCAGGTGTGGCCTTGCCCAGGTGTGTTGTGCTGTGGGGCAGACTCCAGCTGAATCTTTTTAAGACCCCGGCCCTGATCCACTGTGGCCATAACCAGCTGGGCAAAGGCATCCTCACTGAAGGGCTGCGGTGGTCGTTGATTAGGTGTGTGCAGGGAGGCTTGCTGGGCACTAGAGATAGGAAACAGAAGAAATAGTCCTTGCTCTTAAGGAGCCCATGGATGGATGGATGAATGGATGAATAAGCATTTAATTCAGCTCAATTCAATAAGCATTTATGATGTATCTGCTTTGTGTAGGAGACCTTGGCCTCTGGGAGCTTACTCTCTAATTGGGAAAACAATACACAGAAGGAAGCTTTATCAAGCACCTACTAAGCCCAGATCCTGTGCACTGGAAATACATATGTAAACAAACAATACATGTGTAAGCAGGCAAAGGTCCTCCCCTCAAGCAGTTTGCATTCCGATTGGAGAAGTTGACAAGTAAATGGGAGCAGATTATGTTTGGAAAATGCCAGGATGTGGTTTCTGGAGGATCCGCTCATTTTAACCTTGACACCTGGTGGGGGAAACTAAGCCTAAAGACTGGGGGGGAACCAGCATAGAGATACCCTCTTAGATAACTCCAGGTCCCTTAAAAACCACTATCTGCCTCAGTTTCCTCATCTGTAAAGTAGAGATAATAACACCTACCCCTCAGGTTGTTATCCAGTGAGATATGGTTTGTGTAAAGTTCTTTGCAAACCTTAAAAGCACTAATTAAATACTATTATTGATGACTGATTCTCTCCCTGACCTATCTCCTTCCCTCCTCTGTGCCTCAGTTTCCTCCATGTAAAAGGAGAGGGTTGGATTCAGTGAAGTCTTTTTCAGATGTTGATTGGACTGGCCCCTTGTGTCCCTAAGAGGTGTCTCAGTGACTCAGTGGATAGAGCATTAGGCAGAGACTCAGGAAGACCCGAGTGCAAATCCAGCCTCAGATCCTTACTAGTTGTGTGACTCTGGGCAAGTCATTGAACCTCTGCCTCAGTTTCCCCATCTGTAAAATGGAGATCATAATAGCACTTTGTGAGAATCAGCATTTGTGAAGCACTTAGCATAGGCTTGAAGACAACTCCCCAAGTCTCCTGCTATCCAGTTAAATGCGCCCCCCTCCTTCAGCTGATCCTTGACCATCGGTCCATGGCCTCTCTTCTCCCCTAGGTTTTTTGAAGACCTGGAGAAGAGACACAAAGAGCATGTTTGCGTCACTGACATTAGTGACATCCTAGAAGAACACGCCCTAAACCACTTCCATCCCTATGTGGCATACTGCTCCAACGAGGTCTACCAGCAGAGGACCCTGCAGAAGCTGATGTGAGTGTGCAGCGGGGCTCCCCGTCCAGACATCCAGCCCCCAGCCCCGCCCAACGTCCCAGCTGAAGGAAACACTCACGGGGTGGGGCAGACTCCCCTTTATCCAGAATGCTTATGCCGTGAGACGTGGTGGTAAACTGAGGCGGAGGGATACACTAGACAGGGCCCCTGAGCTGGGAGTGAGCGTACCTGCCCAGGGGCTAATACCCCAGCTGTGCGACCTGGGGTAAGTAGGTAGATAGGTCCCCTCCGCTCTCTGACTCGGTTGAACCAGGCGGATGTCCAAAGGTGACTCCTCATGCTCGCGACCTTGGGTTTGGTAACATTTTGGGCTAATTGACCATTATATTATAAACATTATTATATATTGGATGTTATAAATGAGCGGTTCTTAACCTGGGGTTTTCATTGTATTTACATCTAAGTGGTTTCCTTTGCAAACCTGTGGATTTTGTTCTGTGCATTTAAAACCATGATTCTGATCCTATAGTCTTCATTAGATTGACCATCCAAGGGGCACAGGATGCACACGTGTTCATGCATGTACACATGCATGCACACACACCCAAACACACCAGTGAAGAACCCAAGGGCACACACACGTTTGTGGATGTGTATAGGGATTTGTGTGTATCTGGTGTAACTACATATAAGGATTATGTGTACATAGGCATGTTAAGTATATGTGTTCATATATACGTATGTGTGTTATTGCATTGTATGCATGTGAGTATGTATTTTTAGATCTAATTCATTTCTATTAGACTAGTTTGGGTAAATTTAGGGCCATAAGATTTTCTAGTTTAAATCTCTTATTTTGTAGATGAGGAATTGAGGCCCAGAGAGTTTTCAGTGACTTGCTCAAGGTCACTCAGATAGTAAGTGTCCAGTCTGGGATTCAAACCCTCTAGTTCCAAATCCATCATGCTTCCCAACACGCCATTGTGTGTGTCTAAGTTTGTGTATTTATGTCCACTTCAATGTTTCAAGGATCCGTGTTTTTGTCCATGGGGGCACCCTTTTGACCAATGCCTATCCTGAGCCCTCTACAGATTAGTGGATGACCTTTGAGCTGCTGTGGCTAGAAATTATATCGTCCTTAAGCCAACCCTCAGGACTCAGCCAGGTGGGCCGTTGGCTGACCAGCAGACAGTCCGTGCTGGCTGTGCGTGGCTTGGGGTAGGGTGTGAGCCAGAGCCTCCACTCTCCTGGCATGGGAGAGCCCAGGCCCACCTCCATATCAACTTCATTGGGAGATCTGGTTCAAATCCTGCCTTTTTTGCCCAGGTGCCAGTCCACCTGTCTTAGCTGCAAACATCCCTCTTTATAGATGGATGACATGAAATAATGTTGTCCTTATTTTTATCCAGTTTTTAGCTTTGAAAAACACACATTGGAGAAACTAGGCCCTGCTTCTGCTACCTTGTTTCTGTTTTTTATTTTTTGTTTTTGTTTTTTTTCTTTTTTTGTCTAGGCAGTGGAGTTAAGTGACTTGTCCAGGGTCACACAGCTAGTAAGTGTTATGTGTCTGAGGCCGGATTTGAACTCAGGTCCTCCTGAATCCAGGGCCGGTGCTCTATCCACTGCACCACCTAGCTGTCCCTGCTGCTACCTTGTTTTTAATGACCTCTTGGGTTGTTTGTTGTTTGCTCTTTGCTTTAAATTAAAGGGAAAGGAAGAGAAACAATAACAACAGAAATGATAGCTGGTTTACGATCTGAGTTGGAGGGAGTTCCCACATGGAGGAAATCCCAGGTCCTTGGCTTAATAACGTGTAGACGCCTTCACACGCCCACATTCCTGGTATCCACTTTCTTTTTGGTGTGGTGATCTATAAAGGAAGAACGTGGGGGGAAATCCAGGGATGAGAAACGTCGGATTATTTGGATCCTACATGGGTGTAAGTTTAATGATCTGTAGGCATAGAGACTTGGATCTGAGATTGCATCGTTTTAGGGTATTTCCAGGTCGAGAAACTTCACCTCCCAATGCAGGTTGGCACCTTCTCGTTGTATAGTCTGGAGAGAGCTGAGAAGTTAGTTAAGTGGCTTTCCCAGGGTCATACAGTCAGTGCGTTTCAGAGACAGGACCTGAATTGAACTCATGTCTTTCTGGCTACAGTGCCGTGCTCCCTTAATGAATTACAAAGGTGCTGCCCAGCAGAAGTTACTGTGGCTGGCTTGGAATGTGAGCGTCTTCCTTTCCCTCTCCCTCTCTGTCTTTGGTGGGTGTGCAGAAAAACCCAAAGGCCCCTGTAAGAAGACCTGTTCTCTGGGAAATAATGAGATTATCTCAGTTTCCACAACTGTAAAATAGAGATAATAATAGCATATACCTCCCAGGGTAGTTGTGAGGACCAGTGGAGATAATGATTGTAAATCTTAATGATTGTTAATGTCTGTCATTTGTTACTTATTTTAGGTCTCCCAATCTGGGGAAGAGGCCATTGAGGGCAGGTTGGGGATGGGGGTTGTTGGAAGGATTTAGGTCTAGTAGGAAGATTGCAGTTCCCCAGGGCTTCCTTTTCCTTCAAAGCTAAAAAAGGTAAAAATACCCGTTCATGAAAAGCTCCAAGCCTCCAGGTAATCTATTGATTGTTAAACAGAGAGGGTGAATTTAACTCTGTAATCCATGGGTTTTCATCCTGCTCTCATACTTGCTTTCCCCCAAACTCATTTATTTTTAAAATTCTTTCCTTTTTTAAATTTTAAGTTCCAAATTCTTTCTCATCCTTTATAGCAAAAACACAAACTCAGGATATAGTTTAAAAATGATATTTATCTAGCAAATACCGTGGTTAAAAATGTGATTAGCCAGTAAGCACAATTTTTTAATAGTGTAGAAACTTTTAGTGACAAACCTTACATATGGCAATAAAAATTAAAGGGAGAAATAAAGAGTAGAGGAGATTCACCCTTGTTCTACCAGTTTCTCCAAGAAATCAGAATTCAACCACTCTCTGTTCGATTCTCTGAAATGAGCCAAACCATGAGCCAGGGAAGGGAAAAGATTCCAGCATCTACAAGGCTTAGAGTCCGTTTCTTCCGAAGTCACGTCTGTTACGACTGTTGCTGTTTCTGTTTCTACTGCTACCTTTTGTCTGCCCTAAAGTCTCAGGACTGTGATAAGAGTTTTCTGTTCTAGAAGACATCTGTTGCTACTGTTGCTGTTTCTGTTGATACTGCTACCTTCTGTCTGCTCTCCAGTCTCAGGACTGTGATGAGAGTTTTCTGTTCTAGAAGAAGTATGAGGACCAGGGTCCTTAGTGACGTAGACCCCCTCAGAAGACAGCCAGTCCAAGTCTTAAATTGCATGTTTTTAATTATTGTCCTATTTTCCTGTCCACACCTGATGTCTCGTCTTTTCTTCTATTAGTGATGTATTTATCTGAAATGCTGTGGCCAGGCTGATGTCGGTAGCACCACAAATGACTGTGTCCTTGAAGAGGGTTTTTGTCTTTAATTTTCAGGAACTGCAACTCAGCTTTCCGAGATGTCCTGAAGGAGATCGAAAAGAGACCCGCCTGCGGGGGCCTGCCCATGATCTCCTTCCTCATCCTCCCCATGCAGAGAGTGACCCGGCTCCCTCTTCTGATGGATGTGAGTGAGGGGCCAATGAGAACAGTAATGATACCCGTGGATAATCGTTGCTTTCTCAGGAGTTGGAGGAGGGACGAGAGAGAGGGAGAGAGTTTGGAGCTCAAATTTTTTTTTAAATGAATGATAATAATTTTTTTAATGTAATTGGGAAATATTTAATGAAAATTTTTTTTTAAATTTTTTTAAAAAGAGTAATGATAAATAAGGTCATGAGGGACCTTAAAGAGAGAGCATCTAGGTGAGGAGTCTAAGGCCTCGGAACATCAAGTGACTACTACAACATCACATGAGTAATAGACTTAAGAAGTGGGATTCAAACCCAGGCCCTCTGACTCCAGATTCCTATACTCTGTTCCCTTTTCCCCTGGACTTGGTGTTAGCTTCCTCTTTTAAGCTGTAGATCTCAGATCATGGACCCAGAGTTGGACCTCGATCTAAGGAGTCATCCAATCTAATCCTCTCATTTTACAAATGAGGAAACTGAGGCAGGCAGCAGTGAAGTGACTTACCCAGAGTTATATACAACTGGTATAGGATTTCTGACTAGGATTTGAACGCAGATCTTCCTGACTTTCAAGTCCAGGATCATATCCACTTATATCATGCTAGAAGGCCTACACATTCAGTCCCTAAAATCTTAGCGTATACGAGATGAGGTTTTTTACTTGAGTTTAAATCCTGCCTCAGATGCTCAGTATCTGTGTGACTCTGGACAAATCACTTCACCTCTGTCTGCCTCAGTCTCCTCAACTGTAAAATGGAAATGATAATAGCATATACCTCCCAGGGTAGTTGTGAGGACCAGTGGAGACAATGATTGTAAACCTTAATGATTGTTAATGTCTATCATTTGTTATTTATTTTAGGTCTCTCTCCCGATCTGGGGAAGAGGCCATTGAGGGCAGGTTGGGGATGGGGGTTGCTGGAAGGATTTAGGGAGCAGTGCCAGGGTTATTGCTGACACACCAGATCTGACTCTCCTGCCCTGGGTCAGCAGGGCCCGTGGTGGGGGGTGAGGGCTGCAGCTGGCTGTACAGCCAGTGGGAGGTTGTGTCTCAGTGCCCCTTTGTGGGCACACAAGCACCAATTATTCTCCAAAGCCAGCCGGGCAGGAGAGAAGTGGGTGGGCTGGAGAGCGGGGAGGATTGAGCTCCGTTTCCCGTTCCCCGCCTGGGCTTCAGTGGCACCTGCCTGTCTGCCGGGGGGACGCATCCAGGCTAGGACGGACCTGGGCAGAGAATCACCGAGCCCTTAGGGACCACGCCTAGAGGCAGCCACGTGGGTCCTCCAGGTGGACGGCCTTGGTGGCCTCTCACAGAAGTGGTCAGCCCTCCTGGACCGTACCCCCATGAGGAGCCCTTCGCTGCACTCACATAGCCACCACCCGGGTTCCAGACTCTCTCAGGCCTCACCTGGACAATGACAACAGCTTTGCTTCCAGTGTCCCTGATATCTTCTAAGGTCCAGGCTGAACCAGGACACTCCCCTCCTCAATCTTCAATGGCTCCCCATTGCCTTTGAGAAAAAATTCCAACCCCTCGGTCCAGAATGTACAGTTCTCCCCAGTCTGGCCGTTTTCTGCTTTTCCAGATGTGTTCTTTCTTACTCCACATTGCTGCCCAGGTGGCTTCTTGCTCTTCTCTGAATCTGACATTATGCACGGGCTCTAGACTGCCATGTCTAGAATGCACTCCCACCTCCCCTCCTCACAACTCAGCTCCCACGGCCTTTTCCTGATCCCCCCAATTGTGAGGGACCTGTGGCTCTTCAGTTATTTTGGTTTATTTATCGGCGTACCATCCACCACTGCCTGTGGAATGGAACCTCCATGAGGGCAGGGACCATTTCCTTGTTTTGTCTACGTGTTCCCTGTTCCTGGCACATACAGTAGGTGTTTAATAAATGTTTGTTGAGTGAATGAATGAATGTGAATGAGAATTATATACATTGATACGGAAATGAAAAAAGCAAATTTAAGGGGATTTGATACCATACTATTCAGGGTGCCACTTGTCTGTTAGTGAGGGAAATGTCTTAGTGTGTCCTCTCTACAAGGTCACGATACGACCCACAGGGTGACCAAGCTCCTCCTAGCGCTAGTGTCGGACGTGTGAAGGGAGGGAGGGAGGAGGGAAGAAGGGAAGGGAAGAAGGAATGAAGGAAAGAAGGGAGGGAAGGAAGGAAAGAAGGTGGGACGGAAGGAAGACTGGCTTTATTAAGCATTTACTAAGTGCCAGGCCATGGACTCAATCCAAAGGATACAAAGACAAGCAACCAAGACAGTCCCTGCCCTCAGGACACTTACATTCCAATGGAGAAGACCATGTGTATCAAGGTGCTAGAATGTCTGGATTCAGAGTGTTTTTCATCAGTGTAGTTCCCAGCAGTGGTGTGCCGAGAACCAGCTCAAACAGCTAGCTGCCTGTTAAATTTTCGGGATGAGCATTTATACCATGGAAATTAGCACACCTACGTATTGGGGCTCGAGCTGTTGTTTTGCTGATTGTTTAGGCTTAAGAAAGTGATGGAGTAATTAAAAAAAAAAAAGAAAGAAAATGATGGAGAAGATGTTAATGGCACAGATTAAATTTAAAGCATAAGCCCTGTATTTGGAAAGCCGGTTGTTAAATATTTGCCTAGATCCAGTATTTGGAGAGCCATCTATTAAACATTCACCGGCATACCCCTGGGCCTTTTTCAGGCTTGGTGGGGGGAAAATGCTTGTGAACTGATTGGATTGTGTCGGGCAGCTCAGAGCCTGGGTTCCCTGTGTGTGATCAGTTGCATGTGGTTTCCCGACCTCAAATTTCCAGGGTGAGAACTCGGCCTAAAGAGGGAAAAGAATGACTCCCCTCCCCCAGCTCCTCATTCTTTGCTCTTATTTCCACTCCAGACTCTGTGCCTGAAGACCCAGGGCCACCCAGACCGATGTAAAGTTGCCAGCCGAGCTCTGAAGGCCATCAGCAAGGTGTGGTCCCTCCCTGTTTTTCCTTCTCCTTGGAATTATTTCCCTTTGGGTTTTCAGGATGCCGTTCTGGAGCATCCCCCACTCCTCCTGGGCTGACTTACCTTAAAGCATTTTACTCAGTGGGATCCTCCCTGCCGTTTCTCCAGACCCTTTGAAATCTGTTTTCCCCAAATGCAGGGAGCGTGTCAGACTAGGCCCTCATTTCCACCCCTTCTCCACCGTAGACTCAAGGACGGAGGGGGCATCAGTCGCCACCCCCTCCTCCATCACTGCCAGCCCAGCAGCTGGTCCCTCCTGTTAGGGAGAATCAGACCCAGGGTGGGATTTCCCTTGTTGTTTCCCCCTCCCTTTGAAGGATGACATAATCTCTAAGGCGAGTCAAGAAGTGATTAGCTGCTCTCAGAGGGAGAAAAGAGAGGAGGGGAGAGAGAGAGCGAGAGAAAAGAAGAGAGGAGGGTTGGGCGTCCCAGCAGCTATCTGAATAATTGAAGTCTCCCCCTGCCATCGCTGCCATGTTTGAGACTTGGGATCTGGGATGTTTCCCAAACTCCTCATCTCTCTCTTCTTTCTGCTTCCTAATGAAAAAATTATTTCAGTTTCTGCCTCTTGGCCATGCTTTGTCCCTCTGGTTTCTGTATTTTTTTTTTCACATGAATATACCTTCTTTGTATACACTGCCATCCCCCTCTCTTTTTCCTGGGCTGTTCCTTTTGATGGTCCAGTCTTGGGTTTCATCCCTCCTAGGCTCCATTGGGTCATAGTTGGGGGGAATCCTGGGTAATGTGGGGCCTATGAGATTACCGGCCTGGCCTTTACCTGCCTCCTGTGCCCATGTGTATTGACAGCTGGTGAAGCAGTGTAATGAAGGGGCTCATAAGATGGAGAGGACAGAACAGATGGTCAACCTGCAAACTCAACTGGACTTTGGCAAAATCAAGGTAAAGGCCTTGGGCGGGGCTGGGCAGGACTGGGCCAGGCCAGCATATCCTGGGCTTCACTGGGCTGCTCTAAACTAATTCTTTTTAACAGCCTAAATTTAGCAAACATCATGGAAACAAATGTGTAAGTAAACAAGTAAAAATTGTAAATGATAGTACCATAGGCTGTGAACTCCAAATCACTTACAGTTTGTTTAAGAAGCATATGTTAACTTAAACTGAAGAAGACAATTTTGTCATCCTCTTTCCGTGACCTTGGGTGCCAACATTGATGACTACGGAGTTTGCAAAGAGCCTCTTAGAAAGAAACAAATACGGCCCTTTCTCCTTGTTGCTTTGTGCCCTTCTGGGGGTGCAGATCTTCCTGGGAGCTGGGGTCAGTCACTGCAGGTCACTGAGAAGCCTGGGAGTCAGGAGCACCTGGGTCAGAACCCTGCCTTGCACGCTGATGAATTGTGTGACTGTGGCCAAGTTCCTACACCTCTGTGAACCTTAATTTCCTCTCCTATAAAATTGGGATACTAATACCTTTGGCAACTATCTCATTGGGGCAACTAGATAGTACAGTGGTTAGAGCACTGGACCTGGAGTTGGGAAGACCCAAGTTCAAATTCAGCCTCAGACACTTACTAGCTGTGCGGCCCTGGCCAAACCACTTATCCTCTGTCTGCCTCAGTTTCCTCATTTGTAAAATGGAAATAATAATTGCACTTAGCTCCCAGGGTTATTGTGAGGATCAAATGAGATGATATTTGTAAGGTGCTTTGCAAGGGTTAAAGCGTTATGTAAATACTAGTTATTATTTGTAAACTTTAAAGTGTTACCTGGATATCCTCTTTTTGTTATCATTACCCCTATCCTTGGAAATTGAACGAACCGGTGTGTATGATTGCTGAGCAATTTAAATTTTACTTTTTAAATTTTACTTTTCAGCCTGTAAGAATTAATGTTCTCTCCCTCCTACCCCAGTCCCATTAAATGATTCTAGACTCTTTGCCTGAAGACTGAGGGCAAATAAGTAAATAAATCTGAAATAAAGGGCTTTCTTTTCCTTAAACAAAAAGGCAAAGAAAGCCCTCATAACCAGTAGGCATAGCCAAGCAAAGCACATTCTCACATTGGCCATGTCCCAAATTGTGGGCGTTTCTCCTTCCATACCCCGAGTCCGTCCCCCCTGTGTCTGGAGGTGGGGAATATGCTTCATCATCGTTCTTCTGGAATCATGATTGTACACGGCGTTGATCACATCTTGAGTGTTTCAAAGTCCTGGAGCCAATCAATGCACTCTCGTGTCCGGAAGCTTTCCCAAGATCCCAGGCCCAAACTGGCCCCTTTACAACCTCCTCTACCCTTGTTTGTCTTTCTGACAGGCCAGCCAACTTTCATTAAGTGCCTGCTATGGGTAGAAGTTACAAGAAGGCAAATTGAGGCTTGACATGAGCAATATCTTACTAATTCTGTTCCCCCAACGTGCAAACGGTGTCGGGGGAGGGGGTTGTTCAGAATATAGTCCACCCTCACTGGAATCTTCTAGCAATCAACTAAGAAGGGTGTATTAATCACCTGCTCTTTGCTAAATTCTAGGAATACAACAACAAAAATTAAACAATCCCTGCCCTCAGGGAGCTTATACTCTTTTTGGAGGAGAGGGGCTGGGGATGTGTATGTCTGTATATGTATACAAGGTCTATACAAAATCAGTACTGGGTTGGGGGTGGTGTAGAGAGAATCTATTTTCAGGTTTGGGTTGGATTAGATAGCCCCTTTGGACCTGGCCCCCTGAGAATCTGTGATTCATTGATCCCTACAAGGGCCCCTCCAGCCAAGCGCTTTGTTTTGGGGTGGAAACCCCAGGTCCCGGAGCTTAGCTCTTGGCAGACCAGGCAGGCCCCTGCCGCTCCCTGATTAAGTCTGGGCTGACCTGCCGGCATCTTGATCTCCATTCATGGCAAAGGTATCCATGGAGAAGAGGAGGGCAGGTAGGGGTGGTGCTGTCAAGGTCAGAGGGCCGAGCTCAGGGTCCCAGGTTCAGAATCAGAGTTTACGGTATCAAGTAGTTAGAAAACACTATGTTTTGGGTTCACCCCCCTAAAAACAGTATACAACATTTCCACTACGTTAGTTTCAGCAAATTATTTCAATTTGGATGGATTTGGATACTGGTTTTGGTATTTCCTTATTCCTGGCTATTTACACTCCAGAGGAGCCTGGGTTTGGCATTGTGCCCAGAACACCAGCCCTTTCTGCTTCTTATTACCCGTGTGCCCTGGGGGGGGGGGGTGGCTTAAGGGGGCTCTGAGCTTTTCTTCAGCCCTAAATCCCGTTACCCTTGTGACCTCTCGAGCTTGGGGAACGTGTCCTTTCTGATTTTGAAATCAGATTCTGAAATCTGATTTTCTTCACCTTTAAAATGCGGACTCAGGGGTTCTGAACTTCGTTTTGTATCCTGGACCCCTCGGGCAGTCTGGTGAAGCCAGAGACCCCTCACCCACCCCAGTCCTGCCAGCCTTCAAGGGCCACCTTTAGATCCATCCTCTCCTTCCACAAGGCTCTATCGTCTTTCCCTGAACTCATTCCAAAGAGGGCTTGATGACATTTATTTAACAAATATTTATTGGACATCACAATATTTAGGGGGCCAAGCACTGAGCTTTTTAAATACATAAAATAAAATTCAAAATGAAACCAATTATATTAAAATATAGTTGTTAAGATAGTAAAATTGAAGAGGGGGGACCGATCCTGCCTGTGACCCTTATTCCTGTGTCATCTGGGCCAAGGCCCTTCCAGATCCCAGCCTCCTTCATCCCTGCCCCTTGACCAGTGGGGTTATGTCACTGGAAAGATGAACGAGTGAATGCTTCCTCTGCGTTCTTTCTCACACCCACCCAGCCCAGCGTAAGACCACCCCTAGCCCCTGTGGTCCAGACCCCCGCTCCCTAATCCCAGAGGCCTGCCCTGGCTCCTCCCCCACCCCCACCCCATCACTTTCCATTTAAACTGTGTTTTATGCAGGTAGATGCTTGCCTGTCGTCTCCCCACTAGAATGTGAGTGGGGATCGGGGCGGGGAGGGGGGCGATGAACAGGGTAGGGACCATATTTTCACGCATCTTGTGTATAGCACCCCCAGACTGACCCCTTTCGTCGTGTGACTTCCCCTGCTCACGAGCATTCAGCGGCTCCCTTGGTCTTTTCAAGAATCAAATGCACGCTGCTCTACCTGGTTTTCAATGCCTGCCCTCCACCGTATTTCCCACTTGTCCTTCCCAGTCCCCTTCAGACCAGCTAGTATCCTCACTGTCTCCAGAAACTAACAGGCCCCTTCCCTCCGCTGGGTGTCTGCCCGTGCTGTTTCCTTTACCGGGAATGTTCTCCCCACTCCCCCTCCCCTTCCCCAGTCCTGCCAGCCTTCAGCGGCCACCATTAGCCCCATCCCCTCCATGAAGCCCCCCTGGGAGACCATGCCTTCAAAGCGGCTCTATCTCCTTTCCCTGAACTCATTCCAAAGAGTACTTGGTCACATTCATTTGTTTAACCTAATAGGTTAGTGGACTGAGTCCCCGGCTTTGAATGTAAAGAGCCCTGGGTTAAAATCATGTCTCTGCCACTTACTAGTTGCATGACCTTGGGTGAGTCCCTTAAATTGAGGTTTCATTTCGCTTTTCTGTTAATAAGGGTTAGGTAATTTTTGAGGGCTCTTGAAGCTCTCACATTCTGCTTTTATGTATAAGATGCTGGGAGGAGACAAGAAAGACTTAAGATGGAACCCTTGCCCTCAGGGAGCTCCTACTCTAGTAGGAGAGAAGGGACCTGGCCGGATAACTGGAGCTGGAGCTGAAGGTGAAAGTGTGATCTGTTTGGACAAAGGTGAGAGTAGAGGTCAGAGAGAGGAATCACCAGGGGCAGGATCACTGATTTGAGAATCTTAGATATCCTCTGGTCCACACTCCGCATTTTACAGATGAGGAAACGGAGGGCCAGAAAAGCTAATTGACTTACCGAAGGTATAAGAGATCTGGGATTTGAACCCAGGTCCTCTCCGCCTCCAGATCCACCGGTCTTCTTACTGTGAGCGTTATTCTCTGCCTATCAATAGTTCCCCTATTGTTTGGGGTTTAGGTAACTAATTTCTCCCCCATCCACCACTAAAAGGTCCCTTGACTCATAGTTAGATCGAGAAGGGATTGCCAGTCCAACCCCCTCGTTTCAGAGATAAGAAAATGGAGGTCCATGTCAAGACCTCAGTGAGCACATGAGCTATGTCTCCTGCCTCTTAGCTGGAAGGTGGTAGACTACAGGTGCAGAGTGGGGCATACGTCTTCTGATGTGGTCACTGTGTTGATTGGTTTTGTTCAGCTGAACTTGTTTGTAACATGGGAGGATTCTGTTGAGGAGCAGGAGTCATTGGGATATGACTGATGGTAAAGCTAGAAATTGAGAGAGGAAAGAAAAGAGAAAAGGAAAAGGAGAGAGAGAGTGGGAAGGAGGGGGAGAGAGAGGAAGGGAGGGAGGAGAAGGGAAAGAGAGAGAGAGGGAGGGAGGGGAGAGAGAGGGAAGGAGGGGGAGAGAGGAGAAGGGAGGGAGAGAGAGAGAGAGGAAGGGAGGGAGGAGAAGGGAGAGAGGGAGGGAGAGAGAGAGAGGGGGGAGAGAGGGAGAGAGAATATTTAAAAAGGGAAAATACACGGGCTGAGTTTCATTGACTTGCCCAAGGTCCCCTGCCTGGTAAGTAAAGAGCAGGAGATTCTCAGTTCCTTGCTTAGCCCTCCGCCCCTCGCTCAGGGAAGCAACCCTGTAGAACAGGTATCATTATCCCCATTTTGCAGATGAAGAAGTTGAGGCTCAAGGAGAAGTGCCTTGTCCAGGGTCTCTCGGTGGTGATGTCTGGCTCTGCTTCCCCTAGGCCTTTCCTCTGATCTCCGCTTCCCGGTGGCTGCTGAAGAGAGGGGAGCTCTCTTTGGTGGAGGAGCCCAGCCTCTTCCGGAAAATCTCCAGCAGGCCAACGTGCTACCTCTTCCTGTTCAATGACGCCCTGATGGTCACCAAGAAGAAAAGGTGCCCTCTCCTGCCCTTCCTTGCCCTGGCTCTGGGCGCTGCAGGAGGGCCAGTGGTGGGGGGAGGGGGGGTGGAAGGCCTCGGGACGGCTTGGGAGGGAGGTCCTTCCTGACCCGGGCTCAGAGCCCGTTTGGCTCAGTGAGAGTTAATGTCAGACCAAGTTCTCTGGTCCTCGACCACAGAGAGCATCCCTGCCTTGACCAAAAGCCTCGTTTATGAGTCTCTCCCTTTTGTCCGGCTTCCCAAGCAATAACCTCTCTGTAGGGTTTGTGTCGCTAACACTCCAGGGCCCGTCTCCCGAGAACCTGCCCCAGCAGGGCGAGAGCAGGCCAAGGGGCAGGGGGCGCTTAATGCGGACACACACCAATTGGCTTTAGCTCACTGCAGCCCAGAACTCCCAGACTCAAGAATTCCACTGGCCTCTGCCTCCCCGTCACAATAATAAAAGTAATGATAGCTAGCATTTATGTAGTGCCTACTGTGTGCCAGACACTATACTAAGCACTGTACAGATAATATTTCACAAAAACCTGAGAGGTGGGTGCTCTCGTTATTCCCATTTTATAGATGAGTAAACTGAGGCAAACAGAGAGCAAGTAATTTTCCCAGGGTCGTGGAGCTAGTCAATATTAGAGTCAGATTCAAATCCAATTCTTCTGTTTCTGAGTTTAACATTTTTGCCCCTGCACTAAGAAGAGTAGAAAGGAAGCAAGGATTTATTAAGCACTTACTGTATGCCAAGCAAGAAAAAGACAGTCTCTGCCCTCAAAGAGCTTACATTCTAATGAGGAAGAAAACACACAAAAGGGAGCCAAAAGGCAAAGGAAATGAAAGTGCTTGGCACAGCCGCGTGTTTGAAAGCTAGAGAAGCACGGCCAGGAGGGGGATGGAGGCAGGCCAGCCCGCAGACCCAATGCAGGCTCCGAACGGAACCCCCTCCCGCCCTCCCTCTCCACCTTCCTTCCTTCCTTCCCTTCCTCTCTTTTCCTGCTTCCTTCCTTTCCCTCCCTCCCACCTTCCTCCCTGTCTTCCTCCCTCCCTCCTTCCCACCTTCTTTCCTTCCCTTCCTCTTTCTCCCTCCTTCCTTCCTCCCCTCTTTCCTCACCCCTCCCGGCAGGGTGCTGGATGTGGGATTGGTAGGTAGGTGACCCAGGCCACTTGAGAACACTTCATTCAGGCATAAGACTCATGGTGAGAGCCATCACGGAGAGTGAGATGCCATCCAGGCCGAGGTCTCACCAGTCCTCTTGGCCCTTTGGCAGTGAGGAGAACTACGTGGTGATGGATTACGCCAAGATGGACCAAATCCAAGTCAAGAAGGTTGAGCCTGATGAAATCTCGTTGCCGGGAGGGGGCAACCGCAGCTCGTCCATCCCCTACCCCTTCCAGGTGACCATGCTGAGGAACAGCGAAGGGAAGCAGGAGCAGATCCTGTTGTCCTCAGACTCTGCGTAAGTAGGTGGCAGTCACAAGCCTGGGCCCCTCTTCTGGGAGCACTTGAGGGCGGGGACGGGAGAGGGCAGGCGCAGCGTTGGGGCTATGGGGGTGCAGCCACTGACCTTTGGGCTGGGCTGGTAGATAGCATGGGTTGCTTATGTGCCGTGACCTTTAGATCATTGATAGGGTCATGGATTTAGAACTGGAAGGGTCTTCCAGCTCAAATTTCTTATTTTATAGACAAGAAACTGAGATACAAAGCAGTTAAGTGTTTCCTCCAGGACAGTACAGGCTGGCTTCTGACTCCAAAGCCATAAATGGCTTTCCTGTCTTGTAAGAGATTAGAATTGCACATGCACACACGCACACACACACACACACACACACACACACACACACACACCTGCCCAAGAATGGGGTACTACCATTAGACAACAATAGAGAAATGCCCCCTATTTTGGGGAAGGATTTAATGAGTCAGATTTTGGACATGTTAGGTTTGTGGTGACATCCACACAACTAAGTGGAGATGTCTTTTCATGATTTAATAAGCCCTTGATATCATCTAGAGATGTGTTATTAGATGTCATTTGGAGTGGACCTGTGACTGTATTGGTATAGAGAACTTCAAATGAAGATACTCCCTCTATCGGTACACCTGGATGTATTTAAATATGCCAATCAGCACCAGCTTGGTGGTGGAAGGAAGGAGGGAGGGAGGGAAGGAAGGAAGGAAGGAAAGAAAGAAGGAAAGTGGGAAGGAGGAAGGAAGGAAGGAAGCATATGGGATAGCAAAGGGTGCAATTAATAAACAAAAATTTTCAATTGTATTTGTCCTTGGTTATCAAGGAAAGTGTGTAGGGGAGAGTGTCATGTCTTTCTTTACAAAACTCTCATTCAGGGCTTTGGATTCCATGGCTAAGATGTTGTATTTGGCAGAAATGTCTCCAGGATGCATTTTCTATTGAAAATTCTAAGCATCGCAGGTGCAGGACTTTGCAGCATAACATCACCATCTTGTATTCCTGCTGAAACATAATCTATTTTTCTCTGGTTCTCAAATTCATAATTACTATAAATCCCTTCACTTTGATTTGTTTTCATTTATAGGGCCTTTCATCCATTTTTTCCCCAGCACTTTGTAGTTTATATATTTGTAATTCCATAATTTAATATCACCTTTGTTTCTGCTATCAACATTCTATTACGATACCATTTCAAAAATGGAAATAAATTTTTGAGAGACAAAAAAATTAAAATTGTTGCCCTCAGAATTTCAGATCAGAAAACCAAGGTAGATGTGTTGTGACTTTGTTGAGATACTATGGAACAGAGGTGTCAAATCCAAATAGAAAGGGGGTGGGGTAGGCACTAAATGATCCGTAAGGATGCCTGTGGGCTCCATATTGACTCAGGAAACCACAAGTTCATAGTACCTATGTTCCATTTATTTTATTTGGTATTTCCCAATTACGTTTTAATCTAGTTTGGGCCACAGGAGGGACCACATATAATGGGTCGCATATTTGACACCTCTGGTGTAGGACTCCCTCTGAGGTCTCTCCCTCAATGCACACTCAGACTCTTGGGTTTGAGTCTCCAGAAGGACAGCTGCTACTTTCAGGGTTTAAAAGGAAATTCTGAGGGACTGTGATTTTTATCCTGTAACTCATGAGCCCCTACCAATGTATTTCTATTCGCATTAGCAAGACAGACTTAATTAGTTTTTAGAAAGGGCATTTACTAAGATGGTAGAGTAAATACGGTTGGTACTTTTGGGTTGATACAGCGGTCATGAGCGACATATGAAGAGAACATGTGTGGTCATAGGGTAAGCCCACAACTCTTAGTTGCTGCAAGTCTTTTCATGAGTCCATAGCCAGCGTTCTCCAATACAAGGGGTAGCGCTCCTTGAAGCTGCCTCCTTATTTGGGTGATTATCTTTTCTTTAATTTGCCTGTATTCGTATTTTTCAGTATGTCTCAGATCCCACATAGAACCTTTCTTTTCCAGAGTGACTAGCTATTTGCCATCAGCATGTATTTGCTCTTTTCTAGGTGCCCTATTTCATACAGTCCTTTCTCTTGTGATACAATCAATGGAAATGGAAGGAAAGAAACAGACAGGACATATATGTACACACACCCAAACACACACATTTACACTACTGCCCGTCTCCCTACCAAGAATGTTTCCTTCTGAACATGGAGTCTTTCACCATTGGGCTGGCTTGCTCCTGAAATTCTCCATTGTCTCAAACCCCTGGAAGGGTCCCAAGCCAGTTTGGTCAGCTCATTAACTATTCCCACTTGACCCCAACCACAAAGGGGTGGGGGGAATCACACTTTGCAAAGAGATAACAGGAGATGTGACCGCCCATTGGGCATGTTGGAGAGAGGATTCTTGGTTAGGTCTGGAATGGACTAAATGGTCCCTGGGGTGTCTTTCAAGTTGGATGCTGAGTAGCTACAAGTTTGACCATGTTGGACACATAGAAATGTGATGTTATTGAGGCTTCGAAGCCCAAAAGTTACATCATAGGATTTAGAGCTGGAAGAAACCTTCTTCCTCATTTTACAGATGAGGAAACTGAGGCCAGGAGAGGTGACACGCAGGTGTCAGAGGCAGATATGAACCCAGGCTCTTGGACTGCAGAACCAGCCTTCTCCCCACTGTGCCCTTTTTCCTTGTCTTCGTAATCATATCATCAAATACAGCAATGCCCCGGTTAGTGCCAATAACGAATCCCTTGAAGTGGTCACATGTATTTGAATTCAGTTATTCCAAATATTTAATGTTACAATTAAGTAAAATGTGGTCATTGGTTCCTGCCGAGTGGAAATATGCAATATGAATTGGAATGACGTGACCACCATGGGGAATTCATTATTGGCACTAATCAAGACTTCACTATAATTCAAGTGATTCCAGAGTCATCCAGTGCTCCAGGCCCACCTCCAGCCCTAAAGGGCTCCAGATTGGAGCTTGGGTCCCAGGGCCAGCTCTTTTTTTTTTTTTTTTTTGGTGAGGCAATCAGGGTTAAGTGACTTGCCCAGGGTCTCACAGTTAGTAAGTGTTATGTGTCTGAGATTGAAGTCAGGTCCTCCCGGCTTCAGGGCCGGTGCTCTATCCACTGTGCCACCTAGCGGCCCAAGGGCCAGCTCTTTTTGAACAGGCCGGAATCCCAACCCTTCTGTTCATTGTTTGTGTGACCCTGGGCAAGTGTCTCTGTCCCTATCTCGCTCTGCCTCCATCTCTCTCACTGTTTTTCCCTAGTTCTCTCTCATCTCTCCCTGCTTCATCCTCTGTAAGATGAAAAGGTTGGGCCCGATGTCCTCTGAGGTCCCTTCTCGGTCCCTGAGAGCTGCAGACCCTCAGCTTGTTTTCTCTCGTGTCCACAGGAGTGACCGGGCCCGATGGATCACTGCCCTGGAGCATAAGGAGAATCAGGAGCAAGGCCTAGCCAGTAAAGGAGGTAAGACTCGGGCTTGGGAGGGAGGACGGAGCCAGATGGGGGCGGGCGGCTCAGCCTCCTCCGTGCAGCTGGAGCGCATAACTCTGGCTCTTGCTGAAGGGAGCTTTCAGCAGGTGGGAGTTAGGGAGTGGAGGAGCTCAGATTCTTCAGAGATGAAGCAGAGGCCAGGATGCTTATGGTGGAGCAGGAGTCCGGAGAGCTGAGCGCCTGGGGTCTGAGGGCCTGGGGGCCTCGCTCCGCCTGCAGCTGTAAGAGAAACAGATGCCCCTTCCCCCCTTGCCACACCTCAGATGGATCTGAGAACATCTGTCACTGCTCCTAGCCCTAAGTTAGGGTTCCCTGGGATAGCCCTGGTTTAATTCTCCTCAGATCTTTGGGGGTCTTTGTGTCTGTAAACACCCCTGTTTGTGTCTTTGCGAATGTGGAGGAGGGCGCAGTGCAGATCTGTGAGCAGGCATTGAACACTGTTAACCACCCTCTCCCCCATACTCTCTTCTCTGCATTGTTGTGACTGCTCTTAATTCTCACCCAACGTGTCTGACCTCTCCTTCCTTCGCAGTCTCTTTTACCGAATCTTCATGTCACACCCAGTAACTATGGGGTCAGGGATCCCCTTTGGGGATCCATCCATAGGCCTACTTTGCTTTTCTGTCTATACTCTCTCACTTGGTAACCTCACCAGCTCCCATGGGTTTAGTTATCATCTTCACCAGGAAAACTCCCCAATTCAGCCAGTTCTAGTTCCTTGGCCCCGAGTTCCAGTCTGTCACCATCTGCTGACCGGACATTTCAAATTGAAAGTCCTGCATGTGTCTCTAACTCCACTTGTCCAGAGCAGGACTCTTTCCCTCCAAACCCACCTCTCTTTCACGCACTCCTTTTCCTGGCAAAGACCCCGCCATCCTTCCAGTTACATGTACTCACAAACCTCAGGGTGGTCCTCAATTTCTCGCCCTCCCTCACCCCACACACCCACCCAGATGCCCAAATCTCTTGGATGTTTTCCCTTCTTATCTACTCACATAGCTAGTTCAGGCCCTCGATTTCCATCTGAACGATTGTAATATCATGCTAATTGGTATCCTCGCCTTCTATCCTCAACCCAGACCTAACACAGAACAGGTCTGACCACTGACCCCTGCTGATTACATTCCAGTGACTCCCTATGACCTCTGGGATCAAATCAAGACTCTTTTGTTTGGAATTTAAAATTCTTAACAACCTGGACCCAACCTGTATTTCCAGCCTAATCACGTGGCTCCCCTCTGTATTCACTGTGGTCCTGCCAAACTGGTCTTCGTCACATGCCTCTTTCGTGATGCTGTATCTCCCACCTGAGTCCCTAAGCCTGGAATGCTCTTCCTCTCACCTGCATCAATCAGAGCTTCCTTGAGGGCTCAGCTCAAGCACCAGCTTCTCTAGGAGGCTTTGCCTACTCCCCCAAGAGAGCCACGTGCCCATTTTTGTATTTACTTATACGAGTACGTGTTGTCTGTCTCCGTGAGAATATATTTGTTTCTGCCCTCCACCCACCCAGTGCCCAGATAATGCTGGGACAACAATAGGCACTTAATAAGTGCTTATTAATTGAATGATTGACAGTCATGAGTCTCTGTGTGCCTGTGAGCCTCTTTTAAATCGGAGGTTTTTCTTGGCCTCCCTTCTGTGTAGGGTTAGACAGAAGGAGGCTTCTCCCAAGTGAGAAATTGGGGACAAAGCAAAGGGCCATCCGTAAGCCAGGAGATGCTCCCTGGGCGCCCTCTGCTGGCCCCACAGTGTGGCGCACGAGCCAGAGCCCAGCCCCTGCTCTCCGCCTGAAGTGGGGGCCCAGGAGGTAAACCTGAGCCGGCCAGAGGAGGCTGGGGCTGCCCACGAGGAGCCAGGCCCAGGGCAAGGAGATAGCTCCCTGGATTAGGATCTGCCTTTGCGGCAGGCTTACTCTCGCCTCCTGGGTCCGGACTTGAGGGCTGTGGCAGCTGGGACTTGGCCCCTTCTTTACCTGGGGGCCGACCCCAGCCTCCCAAGGTGGGGCCCCCTGGGTACCGGCATCCCCGAGGACTAGGCCTCACTTGCATTCTTTGGTCCAAGGCAGGGGTTGGGGAAGGCGGACGCCACCCCTCCTCTCCCATAGACCCTCACCTGGGCAGGGCAGGGGACAGGAAGAGCTATCTGGTTCTTTCCTTCCCTCCTCTTCCCTTTCCTCTCTCCCTGCCTCCCTCCTGTCTTCTTCATCCTCTCCCCCCTTCCTTGTCTTCATCCCCCTCCCCACCTCCTTGTCCTCTGCTTCTCCCCCCTCCTCATTCTCTTCTCCCCACCGTCTTTGTCCCCTTCGTCCTCCTCGCTCCCCGATTCCTGGTCTTCTCCCTCTCCCACTGTCTCCCCCTCTGGTTTTTGGGCAGCAGAGGCTCAGGGAAGCCCCGACCCCCTTCTTTTCTCTGTCATCATGCCCTGAGTGACATATCTCCATCCTTGCCTTCAGACCTGCACCAGGTGGAGATCACCAAGGCCTATTTTGCCAAACAGGCCGATGAGATCACCCTGCAGCAGGCAGACGTGGTCCTGATCCAGCAGCAGGAAGACGGTGAGCTCCCCTTGGATGAGCCCCGACGGGCCAACTTCTAAAAAACTTCACAGAATGTTACGCAGCCAAGCTAAGTGTGCCTCTCTTTACGCAGTAGACGCACTGTGGGGCAAATATTGTGTTGATTGGATCCTGATTTAACATCCTAGAGAAAGTTATTGATGATTGCCCACACTTCTACAGGGCTTGGGGTTCAAAAACTGCTTCTCTTACAATAAACCTGTGAGATAGTGCAGGTGTTATTGATCCCATTTTACAGATGGGGAAACTGAGACTTAGGTGAATTAATTTGTCCAAGGTCATATTTGAGAACTTGAAAGCATGCTCAATTATTCTTTAATCCCCTTTCTAATATGTCTTTAATAGGGAAGACCCCTAGATTCCCTGATCCATATGGGGACCCCAGACATTTTAGGATGGTATCAAGAGTAGACCCACTGAGCCAGTGACCTTCCCATCAGCAGCCTCTGCTCTGTCCAGACACTCGGGAATGAGCTTTCCTTTCTACCATTTTTTTTTCTTAACAGGCTGGTTTTATGGAGAGCGTCTGCGTGATGGGGAGATCGGCTGGTTCCCCGAGGACTATGCCCGAGCCATCACCAGCAGAGTGGCCGTGGAGGGCAACGTGCGCAGGCTGGAACGACTGAGGGTGGAGACGGACGTGTAGGCAACTCCTCAGAGCCTTTTCAGGCTTTCCAAGTTTCTTGTCTGGGTGCAAGGGTTTCACAACAGACCATGGATTGCCTAAAAGAGCTCTCTTCTCGAGGGTTTGCAAATGGTACCTGTGAGCTGCGAAGCCTTTCCAGGGAATCTTTGGGGTTCCAGTCAGGCACTTCCCATTACCCTTTTCCCTGGATCAATCTCTGTTCCAATTTTGGGAAGCCTGGGCACGTCTGGTCCTGAGTTTACCCCCCTTCTGTTGATTTTTTCCCCCTCTCCAGCCTGCCCCAAATTAACTTGAGGGAAGGCCACTTTAAGTGGGCTTTGGGTGGCTCCAGTAGGTACATCCCATAACTATGCACCTGTCTTCTTACCCAGAACCATCTGTCACATTCCTGACTATGGCATTACAAAGGAAATGCTTAATCCCTTGGGAAGCATTTGCATTTGAGAAGGAGACTAGGGGGCAGTGGGCTGTGCTGGGAAGAGGAGGTAGCTAGAGGTTTGAAGGACAGGGGATCTTAGGCCATCCCTGGCCTTATTAAGCCGGCCCTCCTGTCAGCTGTCAACTGCACCCCCATTTTCATTGACCCAGCAGTGACCCTCCTTCCCTTGGCCTCCGGGTCCTGCTAGGTGGGTGTGGGGGCACAGACGGACTTGAAAGCCCCCAGCCTGGATTGTACATTGTTGTATATTGTGTTTTTCTGAGAAATGTAAAAGTCATTAAAATTATTTCATTAAAATTCACTGTTTCTTAACTGCAGGAAGGGACCTTGTGTCCTGAGGCCTTATAACCCAGAATCCTAAGGTTCCTCAATCAATCAGTCCCCAAGTGCCTGGATTCCAAGGTTTTCTGCTCTGTCATCTCAGAGCCTGGAACCACGGACCTACATCTCAAAGCTTGGACCTTAGAATGAGGACGTCCAGAGTTTTCTGGATCTGGGACTCCCGAGTCTACAATTCTAGATCCATGTAGCCATCTACCTTTTGATGATACTGAACCCTGCCCAATCTTCCCATGACCTAGAACCATCCTGTCATCCCAGAGCCTGGAGAGCTAGGCCTTTGCGATACTACCACCTTGGGCTCTTGGCATCTAGAACCTTTGGGAGCCCCGTTTGGGCCCAGAGCTATGCTCTGAAGTTTCTGAATTCCCGAAGGGTCCAGGATGCTAGGTGTCGCTTTCCTCATCTGTAAAACAAGCAGTCTGGCCTAGATGGCCTCACTCTGGATCTGTGATCGTATGAGCCAAAGGGTCTTGGGGATGGGACCTCAGAGGTCACCTACAACCACCTTCATTTTATTGATGAGGAAATCGAGGCCCAGACAAGTAAAATGAATTGCCCCGAGGTCATGTAGATGGGGGCAGAGCTGGGATTAGAAGCCAGGTCTTCTGACTCCAAGACCACTACTTCCTCTCCTTAACCTCTCATTTCAAGGTTCTGGGCTCACAAGGATTTGACTTTTCCACCTGCAAAAAGCTGCCGCGTGAGAATCACACTGAACAGACCAGAAAGTTTCATTCCTTTAACTTAATTAGTTTTACACAGTGCTGGGCCCCCTTTGCCATGGAACCCTTACAGTACACATTGGTTGGCTGGTTGATATATAAAGGGAGGACGTGTTGGTTGTGCCCACTCAGCTGAAAAGAGAACTTTCAGTCCCCCTCCCCAGGATGGAGTTGGGGTGTGGGGGGGGACCACAATGCCTTTATAGCACAGAGGAGGAGCGAAGAGACCACCGTCAGGGGCTGTATACAACCCTGCCAGTGTCTCTGTGGAGCACCAGGGCTGCCCCCTACCCAGAACCTGATTTTGTACAGCTGCCCATAAATATCTTTACATAAATACATATTGGACTATATTTCCAGGTAAACAAGGAACCGCCCCCAGAACAGGACAGGGTGGGGCTGGAGCTGTCCAGTAGCCATCAGTCCCGTTGGTTAGCACCAGATGAAGCCTGCTGGTAGGTTGCAGGGAGGAGTTAGAAACAAACACGCCAAGCCCAGAGGCCTTCTCCTTGTTCTCCGAGTGTCCTGGAGTACCCTTTATGGGCTGTGGCTGGTGGGAACTGATGGGTATTCCTTAGAACACAATTGTTCCTGCTTGAGCCAGTGCCTTTGGGATTGTCCCGTCCACCAGCCCAACACAGGGAGCTTAAGATGGACCTTTCTGTGGCCATCTGTCCTTAGCCTGAGCCCGAGAGGCTGTCAGTCCATCCTCAGGCCTTTTGGGGGGGAATTGAGACCCCAGGAGTGGCGAGTTATATAGCATTGTAGTCACCATGGCCTCACCAGCTGCATCAGAGAGAACGCTGGTTCAAAAAAATGAACGACGGCTAAGGTGGAACCAGTCGACCGGTGGTTTCCCGAGGATTTTTCATCACTTACATACAGTAACACTGGAAGGACGGGCAGGGCCAGGGAAGGAAGGGTGGGCAGGAATAGAAGACAGAGGTTGGGGGCTAATGTTTTGCTGGCTGTGGGCTGAACCTGGGAGGTGATCTGTAGGATGAAGGACGTGAAGCCACTAATAACAGAAGGAGAAAGGGAAGATAAAATGAGTCTGAACAGTGATTGAGAAGCCTCTAGGTGTTTAGTGGTGTGGGGAAGAAACAGTAGCAATTTAACCACAGTTAGTGCCAAGGTAATGACCCCATCAAGATGGTGCCCAAGTCCTGAGAGTAAAACAACATTAACGGCTTTCTCTCTACAGAAAACACGGGTCTACAGTGGAGTGAGCTGACATTGTATGGGGGTTTGGGTTGGAGATGGGCTAGAACATAGAAGTACTAACTATACATACACTTGTAATTTGAGAAGTGAGCAGGCTCTACCAGTTAAGGGGATCAGGGGGTGTTAGGGTGGCTGGGCCAATGTCTTCATGAAGCATATTGAACACCACTTCCCCTTACTCTATTCACAGTGGCCTTGCCAGATACGGGGGTACATGGGTGTGGTCAAGTAGGGTTGCTGTGAAGACTCCATCAGACTCGCAGATCAGATTTAGAGCTGGAAGGGCCCTCGGAAGTCATGGAGTCTTCCCCTGTGTTTTACAGATGGGGAAAATGAGGCTGAGGGAGGAGGTGAACCGTTATGTCCAGGATCAAGGGTCTGAGCCTGGATTTGAACTCAGGTCCTCTCAACTCCAAGCCTGACACTCAATTCATTGCACCACCTAGCTGCTACTCAGCAGATTTAGGGTCACTGAACAGTATTATCTGGCTGAGGGGCAACAGGGAAAAGGGAATGAGCTCAGGCTCCGATAGGCTTGTACGTTTTGTTTGCCTTTTTAACAAGGCCTGACTTTATGACATCAGTCCCCTTGGTTCCAGGAGAGCAGGAACTTGGGGCACCCGGGCAATCTAAAACTTCCCCTCCCTGGCTCACTCTGCAAGCACGTTCGGTTCTAACAGATTCTCAGGATGTTTAGCAAGCCTCACCCTCTTCCCCACGTCCTAGGCGGACAGACGCTATCTTGAGCTCATGTTGAAAGACACAAAAGAGACCCAAAGCAGACCCCCTTACCTGGGTTGAGGACTTGGGACTTGCTGACTGGGAGCTGCAGAGGGCCACCTGAAAGATGACCAGGACAGAAAGAGAGGGATGGGTAAGCCTGATGCCTGGCGCTCTGGCTTCTGTGCAGGAGGGCAGGAGGGTCTGCTGTGCTCCTTGCCACTCCGGGCAGACCAGTTTAAAAGGGGGTGCGGAGGGCAAGAGTCAGCCCCTAAACTAGCAAACATTACCCCGTCACCAAACTCCACCCTGGATCATTGAAAAAACAAGCCTCTCCTCTCCTCCTTCCCTGCTTTTAAGCATCAAAATGTAGTCAGTACGGGAGAATGGAAAGGATGACAAATTTGGGGTCAGAGGGCCTGGGTTCAAATTCTGAGTCAGCCACGTAATGCTTGTGTGACCTTTGCCAAATCACAACCTTCCTGGGCCCGCTTCTTCATTAAATGAGAGGATCAGACGCAACAGCTTCTGGGGGTCCCTTCCAGCTCTAAATCTGTACTCTTATGATCTCATGGGCTTTCTCTTTGCCTCAGTTTCCTCACTTGTAAAATGAGGTATTGGACTTTCTGGCCTCCGTGGCCCTTTCTAGATCGAGGTCTCTGACCAATAGCCACTCAGACTTCTCTTAATGGACTCTAGGTCCAGCCTCCAGACTCGGGCTGCTCCCGTGCCTGGAATTCTCTCCTCTCTTCCCCGCCTCCTGGCTTCTTCAGATCTTAACTAAGATCCCTGGACAGGAAGCCCCTCCCGGTCCTGCCAGATCTCAGTGGCTGCCCGCTACGGTCATCTCCGGTCCATCCTGGCCGTATCTTGTTTGCACCTGGCTGTTCACATGTTATCTCCCCTGTTAAACTGGGAGCTCCTTGAGAGCAGGGGCCGTGTTTTGGTTTTGTTTTTTAACTCTTTTTTTGGGATTCTAAACACTGCACAGTGCCTTGCATATGGTAGGTGCCTAATAAATGCGTGCTGATTTGACTATTGTTTTCTCATCAGAAATTGAGTAGGTTGGACAATCAGGGCTTCTTAAATTTTTTCCACTCTGGACCCCTTCAGCGTTTCTGAAACTAGGGTTGTGACCGATGGCCTCTGAGTACCCAAGATCTATGAAGCTTTGAACTCCATCCAGGTTCAAGAATTAGAGAAGGAGAAGGCAAGGGAAGGGAGTAAGCATTTATTATGCACCTATTATGTACCAGCATCATGCTAAGTACTTTACAAATATTCTTATTTGATCCTCACCATCACCCTGGGAGGTGGGTGTTGTTATTATCCTCATTTTACAATTGAGGAAACTGAGGCAGGCAGGTTAATTGACTTGCCCAGGGTCCCACAGTTAGTAAGTGTCTGAGGCTGGATTTGAACTTGGGTCTTCCTGATTCCAGACCCAATATTCTGTCCACTGTGCCATTAATACCTTCATTTATACAGATGATGACCCATATAACTGAGGTAGCTAAGAGTGACTTGTCCAGGGTCACACAGCTAATATCAGAGGTGTGAATTGAACCCCAGCACTCCATATGCTATACCACATTGTCTGTGTATGTCTGTGTATATACTGTAAATATATGTACACATGCCGATACCTCATGCTCACTCCACTGTTTAATCCCTTCCCTTTTCTCCAAGCCCTGTGTCCAATTAAATCCATCAGCTAGGGGATGCAGTGGATAGAGTGCTGGGCTTGGAGTCAGAAAGACCTGAATTCAAATCCCACCTCAGATACTTCTTAGCTGGGTGACCCTGAGCTTGTCACTTAACCTCTGTCTGCCTCAGTTTCCTCATCTGTAAAATGGGGATAATACTAGTGCCTACTTTCCAGAGTTGTTGTGAGGATCACATGAGATAATAACTGTAAAGCTTAGCACACAGTGCAGTGCTAGATAGATGTCAGATATCGTTATCATCACTATTATTATTATTACTGTTATTATCGTGGGCATTCCTACTCAAAGGGGTATAGGGCATCATTAGGATGTGTATATATGCCTCTTAATATGATATCATATGTAAACTATGTATATTGTGCAGACCTAACTCACAGAATTACTGGCAGCAAATTGGCCCTTCGTAAACCTTCCAAAATGAGTGACCCTATTTCCGCATTTCTTTGCTTAGTGTCCAATGGACTGTGGCTGCAATACCAGATATAACCAGTAGATGTCGCTGCCCCAACATGATTTCTGTTCACATCAGTACCAAAATCCACCAAAACCCAACAGATTCCAA